CAACCCTTCTCTGCCAACCCTTCTCTGCCAACCCTTCTCTGCCAACCCTTCTCTGCCAACCCTTCTCTGCCAACCCTTCTCTGCCAACCATTCTCTACCCATTCTTTCGGGCACTGGCAACATTTTCCTGATAACCTTACTTGGTAGTGCCGCTCAGGCGCTCTTCTTCTCTCAACAAGGCTAACCTCCGTTGAGGGCTTTAGTTGAGTCTCTTTCTGATTGGGTGCATTTTTGCTCAATCGTGTAGTTGCGTCAGTGGTGGGACGACTTTTAGTGGGGTAGGCCGCTTCTTGCTGCCCAAGTCTCGTTCGCGACCCCTTCCGCAAGACTTCATTACAAACTTCGGACCAGTCCATAGGGGCGCAGACGCGTTGTGCTGGAATTTGTTTCAACGTCAATCACCATTCCTCTGTCTTTACGTTACTACAATTGATCTCAACCGCCCTGAGCACAAACACGATTACCACTCCTTCGCATTCTGGGTGACAGCTAGTCCTTTTTCTCTATGGTAAGATCCAATTCTTGCAGTAACCAAATCTGACGCTCTAAGCCGCTGAAAATCCATCAATTCGAAGATCTTGATTCCGTCGATTTTAGCAAAGCAAAAAAAGCCCCGCTCTGGGTGGACGGGAGAGGTCAGAGAGTCGAGTGGAAGCACTGCTTTGTATGGGAATACGACAGCAGCAATACAAATTCTCCTAAGAAACAGCACCCCGAATGCAGTGGCTGGGCGATCGTGGAAAATGGCACAGATATATATCTCGGGGGACGGGGGGTGGGCAATATATGATAAGACCTATCCAGACCCGGCGCAGTATCATTGATACAGCGTCTCTTTTATCAAAACACCTTCTCGCAAGCCGAGATTCACACAAATAAGAGCTTCATCAACGGCGACGTGTGATATCACCATTGAGATGCACTGTGTCCTGCTGCGTCCCCACTTGCGCTCTTCCTGGTACATTGGGTTTGCCCTGATTGCGACACATGCCTCAGGTCCGAATGTAGGCAGAAGAATATCGAGATCACAGTCTTGAAGAATTATTTTGTCGTTAGGCAGTACCCTAGCACCGCCAGGAAGGCAGACATAGCGAAGGCCTGAAAGCGTCTCCAAGTGTACGCCAAAGAGTTGGCTCGCCAAATGGTTAATCTTGTTTTCTGTAACAGCTATTATCATTTGGCACGCGAAACCAGTGGTGGTTTGACCGCTTGGGAAGTGCATGTCGATAGCGGTAGTATATGAATTCTCGTCCCCTGGGTCGACATCTCGTCTAATTGAGTCTGCAAAGCCAGCCGGAAAAAGAGTAGTTGTCCCGTGAAGGAGAGCTCCGCTGTACGAATCACCTGGCATAGGACCGGGCGGATGTTCAGGATTGAGACACTCAATATCAAAAGCAACTCTATCGTCGGCGGTCCCTTTACGCATATTAGTTCAGGTGGCATAGCACAATTTGCTATACTGACGAGGTCTTTTGCGAAGCTGCGACTGCGTAAGATCCTGGTATGTTGTTCGCATCTTTGCATCGCCATTGATGCCGCGCCTAACTCCAGCTGCAATGGAAGCCTGGTAGCTTTCAGGTGAGGACGAAATCCTGACTACCACTTGGGCACAGGTGGCCTTTCCGGTGAAGTGGGAGCTCTTTTGGCTGTCGTGTCTAAGAAGAGTGAAAGCATACCATGCGTAGAAGCACTGCTCAGTTCCGTCGCCAAGGAAGATCTTTGTTGTGGCGTCGGCGTCCTCTTGATTGGCGGCGTGCCACAATTCATGTATGGAGTTCAGAGTTCGTCTTGACGCGCTATAATGATTTAAGATGAAATCAATGTCGGTCTTCTGCTGCTGTACTTCGCTTACATGTTCAGCCATGTAAATGGAAGGTAAGGTGGAGTGGGTATGGTCAATGAAAGGAAGGATCGGGTAAGGAAGGGATTTGGTAAAGGAGGAAGGTTTGTTTGGAGGTGGGGAAGGATATAAATCCGCCATCAGGTATGTCGCTTCCACATTGCCTGCCTCGCAACGTCATTTATCACACAGCCAATCGGACCTGTGCTACGGCTTGGCAAGTAATGAGCCTAAAATACACATCCGGGAGCTGTGATTCGTGATGGGCCGCGCCGCGTGCGTATGCGTTATGCGCACATGGATAGCTCTCGATTCACTTTGGAATAAAGTAGATTGGTCAGATACGAGACTATGCGCTGGCTACATACAGGGCGCAGGAAGCAACACCAGCCCACCTCTGACACTGATCTAGAGCTTGAGTACGATTAGCGGCTAAAAGGCCCAATGCTTACCTGCAGACCTTGGATTCTTCTGACGTGGCCGACTGACCTAACACATCCCGGGAATGTCGACAGGCGAGTAGGCTAAAGTTTTTCTAGTAGGTTACAGGTCGCTACCAATATACGTGGTGCAAGGCTATATATAATTCCGGTTGTGCCAGCCCCAGTGATGTGACCGTGACCTTGAGCATTACTTCCTCCTCTAGTGATCAATACATCATAAATTCCTGTCAGTATGTGCACTTACGGCAAAGCAATCCAGGAACACACACAGTGTGGCCGGCAGGTCAATAACGCTCCGCAGCGACATCAGATACTGAGAAAACTACGGAAGAGATGTAACGAGAGGCCTAAACCTGGGCCCGCCTGCGACACGATGACGCATGACCGAGCTCTTGACGTACTCCCTTCCACGAAGGGTGGACCATGTCAAGGTTGTCGAGATTCCGCAGTTTCGCTCCAAATTTACAAGACCCTGACGGTAAGTTGTTCGAAATACTTAGTCTATCAGTTCTAAATCCAGAATAGAATGATATTAATTAAGTAGGAGTTTTGAAGATGCGCTGGGTGTTGCGCGACCTCCATCATAGTCAGGATGAAAGACAGCAGAAGGCAGTGGCAATAGTCTCGTGGACAAGACTCGCAAACCTAGTCACTTTATGCTGCATGCACGCCGACAATGGGGAAGGGTACATCTCTGCTGGATTGGCTGAAATGTGGAATCTGGGCACACAGTTCAGGAGCTCGAAGTGCAGGCGCTAAGGCCACGCGCGGGGCAAAGATTCCGTCACGTGGAATCACGTGGGTAGCTAGCGCGCCGAGCAAAGGAGCTTAACAATACCCCCTTTGTTTGTCTCCGATGTGTAGCTTCCGCACTCAGACTCGATTGCGTGCAATGTGCTTCAACCACAAGCGTCGAGCTTCCTTATCCTCAGACCAGCAGAGACATCCAACGGCCTCTTCGTACGAAAGACGACAATACATCACGGCCGGCGGGTCGGGCCTCATTTACGGGATCGACAAGAAAAGAGTTGTGAAACAGTACTTTGAGGGCGAAGAGCATGATGCTGAGCGTGAATGTCGAGCATATACGCGTCTCTGCCCACATCCCAATATCGCGAGCTATCTGGGTAGTCTGAATGATGGCTCCCTAATTCTAGAACGAGGCCAGCCGCTTCGAGAAAGGTACCCAAAATCGAATGCAGATAAGATTCCATTGCATAGGAGACTTCGCTGGTTAAGGCAGGCTGCAGAGGGTTTGAGATACGCGCATGAAAAGGGCATTGTCCAAGCGGATGTTGGGTGTCACAACATGATACTGAAAAGAGCTTCCAGCCTTATGGTATGGATGGAATTTGATTGCCTGAAATTGATCGATTTCGGAGGTGCCAGTATTGACGGTGGAGAGCATGGTTCCTGCTATCAATGGTACAATTATCGACGATCCACACCAGAAGTAAGCAAGCAGACAGATATTTTCGCTTTTGGTTGTGTGATGTACGAAATCCTGACTGGCAGACACCCATACCACGAGTTCGAAGCATCCGAGAATCGTTCACACATTGTCCAGCAACTATATGAAAACAACCGATTTCCCAATACCACAAATGTACCATTAGGCGAAGTGATGCAAGGCTGCTGGCATAGTACTTTCGATTCTATGGATGAGGTCGTCAAGGCATTGAAAGCGAAGGAAGGGACCTTTTTTACGAATGTGCGTAATCGCTGCTACCTTCTCTTTAAAGAACGAATCACCGCTTGAACAAGGATTTTCCACCTCATGCGAATTTGCTTACTCAGTTACCTCCAAAGACACCCAGCAAGGGGTAACCCTCCAGTAATTTTAAACCCACGCGCGCGCCTCTGTCTAGCGGCAGAGAGACTTGACGATGGCGAAGTACGGTACGAGGAGGGCGCCGGGGCTGCTGAGGTTGGTGAGGTTGGCGAGGTTGGTGAGGTTGGTGAGGTGGAGGGTAGGGCGTATGTAAGGGAGGGGTGTGGGGAGAAGTCCCGGTTGTCGATGCGGAATGAGAGGTGGTGGGAGGAGTGAGGTCATGTCTGAGATTGGGCTTGGCTGGTAGGCGTCGATGACGGCGATAGAGTGCGCAGGCCCGGAAGAAATCTGGACGGACGGTAGGCACATGCCACCAACCTGCCAGCATTGACGCCCACCTGCCTCGAGAAGAATCAAGTCGCCTCGCTCGTATTGATTACGGCGAAGGTCATCTAAGGACAAGGAGACTTTGGGACGAGCTCCGGCTACTTCTATAAAACAGAAAATACTGGAGGTCACACAGCTCCAGCAGGCGCTTGGACCTAGGAGCCTCGCTCGTGTCATGCCTACTGTTGCTCCAGGGAGGACTTGCTCGCCGTTTCATGCTCCATATCAATCAATCTGCTCCAGCAGCTCTATTCATTTGTATCTACGACATCGATGTGAGCCAGGACCAAAGGTCACTCGGCCTTTTGGCTTTCGAGAGAGCAGAGCAACGTGTGTTGAATGTTGAATGCCAGGGAAATGGGTCTTGGGAGCTGTGTGTCTTCAAATCTGCCGCCACCTCCGTGCGGACACATACACTCGCCGTGGTTCCCACGGCACGCATCACGATTTCTGAGGGCGTGACGCCGGCGGTGAGGAGGCGGTCAGACCCGCGGGTGGGGTGGTTGGGGGCGGCCGTGGTGGTTTAATGCCAATTGCTTGTGCGGGGGTATATGGAGATTGCTGCTGGGTGGGTTAGGAGGTGCTGCCGTCATCATGCGGGGGTGGCTGCACGAGGCGTGCTTCGGCGGCGGGGTCGGGGTTGTAGGATCAGATCGCCGATGGAGCAGTGGATGTGCTGCGGCGGAGGGGGGTTTTGGCCTCTAAGGCCGGTGGAGGGAGGGGCGTCAGAGCCATCGTCATGGTGGTGGGGTGCGTCAGGCGGAGTGTGGGTGCGCAGGAGGGGGCGATTTAGGGAGGTAGTAAGTGGCGCATCGTCGTTGAGCGCGTTGCCGCTGTAAATGAGGCGGATTGGCGCGAGGACAGGGTTATTGGCAGTTGCGTGTGGATTAGCTGCTTTGTGTGTGGATGTGTTTGCGTGCAGCTGCTCAGCCAGGGAGATTGATAGTCGGGAAGCGAGGCGGCGAAGCGAATGGTGATCTCGTGTCAGTTGGGAGGGCAGGTTTCAAGGACATCGATGGGTGTCCCCTGCTATACTCCGCAGAGGCTACCGGCGACTTGTCCCTCTCAAGCAGAGCACGACAACCATAGATGAGGTCCAGGACTGTAAGTCGCCTGAACAATAAGGCTACACGAACTTGGCGCTGCGTGGCAAGGCTGATGACTTAGTGATGTGGTGCCCAGAATTTCACTGCCTGATATTGGGACGTCTCATCCACAAACCCGACAGCGATCGCAGGTGACTCCCTCCACCGCCTTCAACCTCTCTTCACACCAACAAGCCCTCCCATCGCACTGCGTCCACAGCCAAACATCACTCCATCCACAAATCTCACCCATCTGGTCTCGGGCATCCGCGTTCCGAAACCCCTACGTCCTCGCCAGCAACGCCGCCAAGCCTCCCGCATCTCTCATTGTAAACCGGTTCCTTGAGTCTAGAAAGCCCCTACCACGCAGGAGATGTCACTGGCAGACAGGAACGAACGCTTTCCCCCCGCGACTGGGAACGTGCTCTTCAGCCAGCCGTGCTCTTCCTTATCCAACATTATAGTATGTTGCTGACGCGGTTGACATCCCAGTAGCCATTCCTGATTTGGGCATCCCTACTCTTCAACCTCACCTGTCACTTGCTGGCTGCGAACTTTGGTTTAGATGGTTGCGCGGCTCGGCGGCTCGCGCCGCTGATTCACTGGCTTGCCGTGACGACGCTGCAGGTGCGGTACGGACTCAGGAGGCTCTCGGCCGGACCTATAGAATACAAGTCAGTAGTACAGTAGGGTGGAATTGAACGCAGGAGGTGGCTACGTCTGGACTGAAATCGTGCAGCTGCGCCTTAAACGATCTCGGTCCAGAAGCCACTGAAAGTTAGTGGGGATATGCATCGGACAGCAATCTACTTCACAGTGTTAGCGCGAACGGGAGATGGTGAGAGAAACCACTCGGCCCACTGGCGGCGGACACAGTTGTGAGCGGCGAGGCATTTGAGAGTGAGAGCGAGAGGGAAGGGCACTTTGAGAGAGAGGTGACGTGGTATTTGTTGAGTAAGCGGGGCTTTGAGTGTGTGAGACGGATGTGGGGGTGGGGGCATGGGTGTGCGGTGGCGGTTGAGAGGGTGAAGGAGAGGATGTGGGAGTGAGGGGGTGGTGTTGGTGCATAGGGGAATACGGAGTTGGGTGGTGGGTTTGAGGCAGTGAATGGAGGCTTGGGTGGGATGAATGGGTTGAATGGGATGAACGGTTGATTGCGGGTTGGGGTTCTTCAAAGCCGTCGTGGAGAAATTGACTGATACCAAGCGTATGAATCAGGTCGCTGTTGGTATGCTACAGTAGTGTAGAAGAACTCGACCATAAGAGACGGGAATGCTCTTGACCCTGAGAAGCATTAACAGTATTGCGTGGCTGACTGTATCGACCAACGAGAGGCCGTGTCGCCATGTTTCAGAACAATGCGGCCGTTCTGAGGCCACCATCCCTTCGCATCAACCACGTCGAGCTGCAGTAGAACACCACAATGAAGCGGCCACTTGACGTTCTGCACGATTCTGTCACGTTCCATGCACACAAGACTTTTGCTTGACACGGGAAGGCGAGGGAAATCGAGGTAGATTGACCGACCAAAGCAGCAATGCCAGATTTCCTGCTTAGGTTTAGTGGGGTTAGGTTGGGTTACCAGCCCTTTCCGGTGGATCAATGTCACGTGACTCGCCTGCCACCTCTGGAAGTGCCCATGCATTTAGCAGGGAAAGACTACATCAGCAAAGTGCGGGTCTACGTATGGTGCGGACCACAATCTGTCGTGGGAGTTAGCGCCAAGCCCGTCTGAAACAGGCACACCTCGAGCCACACCCAGCACACCCGCGAGCACACCGCTAGCCCACCCCGGAAGGTGTGCTAGGGCGGCGCTGCACTCCCTCAAGAATGGAAATGGAAAAGTGGGCCTGAAGAATCTGCGTCGTATTAAGAGAGTAATATAGGTATAACTAGTGGGAAGAGCTCTAGTAGGTATAGCTGTGTTAGAGATTCCCCTGGAATACAAAGATTTTAAGGATGTGTTCACAGAAAAAGTAGGGAGTACTACCCTACTAGAACATTAACTATAGGATTATAAGATACCCCTGTTGGTGGAAAATCTAAAGTACTATGCTAGATTAATACTACTTTTAAAGAAGTAGGAGGACTTCTTAAAAGAATACCTAGATACTCACCTAGAGAAATAGTTTATATAGAAATCTATGTTACTAATAGTGTATAGTGTGCTATTTACACTAAAGAAAGACAGTAGCCTATAACTATATATTAACTTTAGGAAGCTTAATAATATCACCTGAAAAAACTAATACCCACTTCTATATATAGATAAACTATAGGACAGACTTCTAGGTACTAAGTGGTTCACAGCGATTAATATTAGGGACACCTACTATTAAATCAGAATAAAAGAGGCTAAAGAATGGAAGATAGTGTTCAAAATATGTTAGGGACTTTACAAGTACTAAGTTATGCCTTTTAGATTGACTAACACACCTACCTCTTTCTAAGAGCTAATTAACAATACCTTATAAGACTATTTAAATATTTTTGTCTTGGCCTATTTAGATAATATCCTTATATTCTTACAAACCTATAATAAACATGTGGAGCAGGTTTGGAAGGTACTTAAGAAACTACAATAGAAACACCTCCTAGTGAAGCTTAGCAAGTGTAAGTTCTATAAACACAAGATAGCTTTCCTTGGCTACCTTATATTAGAAAAAGGATTAGCCCTAGATCCTATAAAGATACAATCTATTAAGGAATGACCTAGGCCATAGAATATTAAGGAAGTACAGTTATTTATAGGACTTGCTAACTACTACTGCAAGTTTATCTTGGGGTATTCCCACACAACTACCCCCTTAATAAACCTTATAAAGATTAACACTTTAACTGGATAGAAGAATATAAGTAAGCCTTTAAGGCCATTAAGGAGAAAATAACTAAAGCTCTAATACTTGCTATCTTTAACCCAGAAAAGGAAGCTATACTAGAAATAGACACCTTAGACTATATAGTTAGTATATACCTTACCTAGAAAGGGGAGGATAGAAAGATTAGGCCGGTAGCCTATTGGTCTAGAAAGATAACTGGACCTGAATTGAACTATAATATCTATAATAAAGAACTTTTAGTAATAGTAGAAGCCTTAAAGGAGTGGAGAGTATATCTAGAAGGAACTAGTCACCCCGTTTAGATCTTTACTAACCACAAGAACCTTCTATATTAGACTATAATAAAAGAACTTAACAGGAGGTAAGTCAGGTAAGTAGAAACACTTTTAGCATATAACTTTAAGATCACATATGTTAGAGGAACAGAAAATGGATGTGCTAATACTTTAAGTAGAAGGCCTAACTATATAGAGGGAACTAGACCTGCACTAGCCTTAATACTAAGGCAAGATAGGAATAGCCTAGTATATTAGAAACCTTAAATATTAGTAACTATAGAAATATAACTAAGTGAATAACAATACCAAGAGGTTATATATAATAGGTATAATATTAAAATAGCTAGATACCTAGGTGTTAATAAGACAATTGAACTTATAACTCAAGACTTTACCTAGCCTAGCTTAAGGAAAGATATAGAGAACTATATTAGGAACTACGACTTGTGTGTATAAACCAAGTATAGTTGACATAAACCCTATGGGTTACTATAATCTCTAGAACTACTAGATAACATATAGACCTTAATTATAATGGACTTTATTATAGATCTGCTAAAATCTATATATCCCCTCATAGGAGTGGAATATGATAGTATCCTGGTGATAGTTAAAAGACTAATAAAATAGGCATACTTTATACTATTCTTAAAAATAGTAACAGCAATAGACTTTACTTATATTTTTATAGAAACAGTCTTTACATAGTATAGAATGCTAAAAGAAATTATATCAGACAGAGACAAGCTCTTTACATCACAATTTTAGCAGTTATTAATAGACTAGTTAGGAACAAAACACAAGCTATTAATAGTATTTCACCTATAGACTAATAGACAAATAGAAAGAACAAACCAAGTCCTTAAATAATATCTATAGTACTATTTAGACTATAAACAAACAAAGTAGGTTAAGTTATTACTAACAGCACAATTTGTATACAACAATTTAGCAGGAGCAATAGGGATCTCTCCTTATTACACAAACTATAGAAAACACCCAAGACTTTATAACCACAAACTAGGTATAAAGCTAGTGGTAGAAAAAGTAAAAATATCAGTAACACACTTATAAACAATATATTAACTACTTAGAGATAACTTATAGGAGATTCAAGATAAAACAACAAAATATATAAACAAAAAGAGAACTAGAGGACTAGTCTCCTTAGAGGGGGAGATAGTTTACCTTCTATAAAAAAATATAAAAATATAGTGACCAAGCTCTAAACTAGATTACACTAAACTTGGACTATTTAGGGTTATTAGAAGAATAGGAAATATTAACTATTAACTTAGACTTCTAAAAGAGATAAGGATATATAATATATTTTATATGTCACTACTAGAAAGGGTATTATAAAACATCAAGACTCTAGGACTAATATATATTTATAAGGAAACATAGGAACTATATTATAAGGTTGATTGTATTATAAGAACCTAACTTATCAATAGGAAGCTATACTATCTAATTTACTAGAAAGGATATAAGTATATAGAAAACACATAGGAACTAAAGGAGAATCTTACTTAGAAGGCTTTAAGGGACTATTGCTAGAACCTAAGGTGGTAACAACCAGGTCTAGTAGTTAAGGTTCCCTAACACTAGCTAAAATCTAACTAGACAACTCTAAACTAAGGTTAAAATCTAGAGGGGATATTACAGCTAGTGGCTTAGGGTCACTAGTGAAAGTATTAAGCTCCTTAAGGGCTTGGGCTTCCTCCTTAATTATCTTTTCTTAGCGGTTGTAGATTTTGTTTAGTTTCTTGTTAAGAGAGTTATACTCCTTTTAGAGGGAGAGCAACTCCTAGGCGAGACTAGTGAGATAGGAACACACTTTAACCTTCTTATAGAGAAGGTTAGTCTTCTAGTTTTCCAGTGTATTAAACTTGGCATTAGAAAAGGTGCCCCTATAAGTAATATTCTTTTACAAGTAGCACAAGTAACATAAAGCACCCTTTTAAATAATATAGTGGGACCCAGAAGAAACACACTAAGGACAGGGAGCTATTATAGGGAAACCAGTTTAGTCAATCTTGTTAGCAAGATGTTTTTGGCGATTAGTAGAACTAAGCTTAGTAGTGTAGACTAGAGGCATATTCAGCTATAAACAAAGATTTTATATAGAACAGGAGGGACTTACTTACTTATAGGTGTTAAGGATAACTAAGGCTTAAGAGGGGGAAAGTGTTACAAATCACATCTGCAATATGACCAAGGCCAGTGGCCGTAGGGATACTAGGGCCTAAGGGGAAGGTTACCCAGAGGAGGACTAAACCCCATGGAAAGCCATACTGTGGGGGCAAAAGGATAGTTAGTGAGTTATGTGACACGCTCTGTGATCTGGGGTACTCCTGTTATCAGAGCAATAGATTACATAGAGCAAGATAAGCTATACAGCACTATATAGAGGGACAACCTGTCCCGATACTAGATAGGACTTTTGTAGTCAACTTTATATGTTGATTTGCTCTATACACTAGTAGTGCAACTGCTACTATCAGTTCCTATGTTTACTTTGGCCTAGCCTTGACCCTGATACTATTCGCCCAGCTGCTAAACCCAGTTTGGACCCGACGTTCAGAGCGGTTCATAACAATATTATTAGTATTAATACCTAATATTAAGGATACCTAATATAATAGTAGTGTTAATACTATAGGCTATTAGTTTTTTAGTTTCTCTCCCTCCTTCTTCTTTAGACTTCTACACTCCTTTACTCTATACCCCTTTTTACTGTAATTCTAGTAGGTAATAGTAATACTTATACTTACACTATTAGTACAAGGTACACTAGAAGTCTTAGATAGTATATCTACAGTTACTATTAGGGTTATCTTTAGGGGGATGCCTCCTCTACCTTGTCCCCTATTTTTACCTATATATATTATGTGAGCAGTTATAGGGCTCTTAGCCTTAATAGTAAAGGATTAAGGTATAAATAGGTTTCTCCTTACCTTAAAGTATTATATAGTGGCACTAATATAATCAATATTTTCCTATATCTTATACTTATTAGCTATTAACTACTCTCTTATAGCCTAGAGAAGACTATACAGGAAATAGTACACCTAGAGTTATTCCTCTAGTAGCTCTAATTATTAAACATCTCTTTTAATTTCCTTAAATTCTAGGAAGAACTAATATATAGTTTGGCTATAATATTATTTCACTGTAAAGTAGCGTTAGGTAGCCTTAAAGATCTAGGTATACAGTGTTATTATATATCTTTAGTATATATAGGTAAAATTGTCTTATATCTTTATATAATTTATATTCTTATAAAGATTATAGATAGTTAAGGTAATATCCTTAAGCTAATTTATAGTAATAAGAATAGGCTTGCTAGTATTAGTATCTAGTATCTAACCTATAGTTATAAAATAGGTAGCACACTCTCTAAGAAATTGTTTATAGTTAGAGAGGCTTGTCCTATAATATAGAGCTAGTAGTGTAGGCTTAAAGTATTTAAAAATTAGCTTTAATTCTTAAGACATAGGTCTCTTTATCTAGTCCTTACACAATTTATATTAGGATAAAATACCTTGCCCTGTGGTCTATTACTTTAAGATACTAATACCTCCTTTATATAGATATTATAGTCTTTATTACATTTAGGCTAATTCTACTTAAGATTCAAGTTTATCTAGCTCATGTTACAACTCTTTACACAACAGTTATACTACTTCCTCTTCTATTGCTTGCTTATCACTATCTTCTTAAGTCCCCTCCAGAGAATCTTAATTTTCTATCTCACTCACATTCTATCTCCCCTTAGGGATAGCACTATTAGATACAGGTATCCTAGTACTTAGGGTTGCTTATATTTATATTATCACTTGCTTAGGAGGCATTCTTTTTAGTTTTTAACTCTTATAATACTATCACACAATTCACACGTGGTTAATACAAGGCTTAAGGTTTAGATAATCCTTAACCCCTATTCGCTCCCTTCTCTCCAGCACACACTATTAGGTGAAGTACTGAAAATTGTAAGAGTCACTCAGGATAGTGTGAGAGGAGCCTCAGGACAAATAGGTGTCAACTGTGTTTCTCTATATACAACAATTCAGTACTTGTAGGAGCAAGTCCAGAATCAACATGATCTTCCACGCGAGGCGCATGGGAGATTGTTTGCCAAGTGTCTTGACCCCTAAGACCTTGGAGTCCTTGGCAATAGAGGGCCGTGGCGCCTCGTTGCCTTGTCTGGCCTCGGCAATCGTGACAGGGAGGTGGCTAAGCATCAAAATGAGACTGCGCCGAGTACTACTGAATGTGCCATGGCATATCCGTCATGCCCAGGAACTTGGGGATGCCAATTCCCAATCCCAGTCCACATCTACACTAGATGATAGAACTTGATTCTAGGGTAAATGCCGGCCTAGAGATCTCCTAGCCGCTGCTACTTGCGATTGACTTTCTGGAAGCTCTTGCGACCCGACTCAGCCGAATCTACTTACGTGCGTCTGTGAGAGGGGTTTCGGCTAGCGGTGATCACCGCCAGTATGCCTATGTACTTCTAGGGTCACGTTTGGACATTAGTTGTGAGGGAATGTACCCTGCGCTACTGCTACCCATTTGGTAGATCAGACATAATTGGAACCGGGCGCCCAATGCTTGCGGAGGAAAAGTAGTCTATGTTGATTTTGATCGATCCCGAGATATCGACATGCTGTTGTATGTTTCTGTGCTACTCACATCGCTAATCAACTTCACAGTTGCAAGCCAATTGCCCACGGACTATGATGTTGTCTGGAGCTCTCCGTCTCAGAGCAATGGCTCGGCGTCGTCAATGCCGCTTGGAGGGGGCGATGTTGGTCTTAATGTCTGGGCGGAGAATGGTAAGGGCTCTTACTTCCACGACCGCGTGGATGCTTACTGAAACGGCCCAGGCACTATCCTGTTCTATATCGCCAAGTCTGGAACATTCGACGAGAACAATAGCCTGCTGAAGCTGGGTAGGACACGCTTGCATTTCCAGCCCAACCCCTTTTCCGTCAACGAGCCCTCATTCGAACAAAGGCTTGTCCTTGAGGATGGCTATATTCGCTTCACAGGAGCCACCGGATCTCAGCTTGTGATTTGGGTGGATGTGTTCGAACCCATTATCCATGTCGACTTTTCCAGCGCGATTCAAGTCGACCTGAAGGCGAGTTTCGAGTCCTGGAGGACTGAAGATCGCCTGATGGATCTCGATGAGAGGGCACAGTCGTCGTGGCAATCGTTTCCAAACGTTTCGGTATATTCTTATCAAGACTTCGTTGATTTCTACGGCAACGGAGTTCTAGCCTACCACAGGAACAGAGAAGAAACTGTCTTCGATGCCACAGTCAGTCAGCAGGGACTTGAAGAATACAAAGGTACACTATACAACCCGCTGAGAGGGAACACATTTGGCTTGTGGCTAGCTGGAGACGGGTTGACACCACAAAACATCACCTCAGGTCAATATGTCAACACCAATTACACCTCGTGGAGCTTGAGTAGCACCGGTCCACGCTATACGTTCAATCTCACCATCTCAGTGCATCAGAATATTACAGACTCCCAGGAAGACTGGCAGACACAACTGGAAACTTTGATACAGGCGCCTCGTCGCTACCGAAGCGATACACTAGAGTGGTGGCACTCCTTCTGGAACCGCAGCCATATCTTTATCAATGCTGATTCAAACGCTACTGGAGTTCCATACCAAGTAGGAAGAAACTATAACCTCTTCAGATTCATGCTGGCCTGCAACGCTTATGGAGAATGGCCGACGCGCTTCAACGGCGGCTTGTTCACATTCGACCCATATTTCGTGGACGATAGTCTGCCGTATTCTCCCGACTTCCGACGGTGGTCTGGTGGTACCTTTACCGCCCAGAACCAGCGACTTCTATACTGGCCTATGCTCAAGAGTGGAGACGTTGACATGATGACACCACAGTTCGATTTCTACCGTCGTGTTACCACGGTGAACCAGCTACGCGGGCGAACATATTATGGTATCAATCACACATTTTTTACCGAGCAAATCGACAACTTTGGACTGCCGCAGATCTATCAATTCAACGCAGACACTTACATATTCAACGCTACCAGACCAGAAATGTTCCCCATGGGGCTCGAGTTCAATGAATGGCTCATATGGCTGCAGGATACCAGCGTAGGTCACTAAAAATTAATCTCGTTTTCCAGATCACATCGACTGATGGTAGCTAAGCTTGAGTTCGTTCAAATGCTCCTGGATGCCAACCAATTCTACGATTACAACATCGAACCATATATGACTTTCATTGAAAGCAGTCTGTTGTGGTTCGAGGAATTTTACCAGCAGCAGCAGCAACTGCGAGATGTAGGAACTGATCCGCTAGAAAATCACACCATGACTGACGACGGGCAGGTATTTCGTCTGACTGGTACAAAAGGCAACGAGTCACTTGTCATTTATCCAGGGTCGGGCGGCGAGACGTATGGATCACTACTGCTCCACGAATGACGTGCATTACTGTACTAACATGTCTACAAACAGATACAAAGATGCATACAACCCTGCATCCACAGTCAGCGGTCTTCGTGCTGTCCTCACTAGGTTGCTGCAGGTCGACCCGCCTTACGTGTTAGGTAACACCAGTCGGTACGAAAGGTTCCTTGCTAGCATACCAGCCATTCCATTACGACAACAGCAGAACAGAACAACTATCGCACCCGCGGTAGCTTGGTCTCGCATACAGAATGTGGAGATTCCTCAACTGTATCCAGTCTTCCCTTGGGCAGAATACGGTCTGGGTCTACCAAATCTCAGCTACGCCGTCGACACATATTTGTATGACACCGAAACCCAGGACTTTCATGGCGCAGAAGGTTGGCAGCAAGATGGTATCTGGCTCGCACGAATGGGATTGACGACGATGGCAAAGAATATCACCATGCTGAGGCTGCAAGATTCAAAGGCTCACAGATTTCCGTAAGTACTGGCACTGTCTCCACCAAAGCTTCGGCTCTGAGTCTGACACGAATCTAAATAGGTCATTCTGGGGCCCCAACTTCGACTGGACTCCCGATATGAACCACGGTGGTAGCTCCATGATTGGACTACAGGAGATGTTGTTGCAAACATATGGAAACAAGAGTCGGACACTGAGAGTTTTGCCTGCCTGGCCAGTTGACTGGGATGTGGACTTCAAGCTGCATGCACCTTTTGAGACAATAGTTGAGGGAAGAGTCAAGGATGGGCAACTCGTCTCGCTTGTTGTCACGCCCGAAGAACGTATGCAGGATGTAGTTATTGGACAGTGAGTGCGATCATTAGAACTTGCAGCCAAGTCCGGCTAGGGACGAGGCCTGTCCTCAATTCATAGGGACCCTGCATTGCCCTTATTGGTGTAAATGCTCCAGCCCGTAGCCAGGACAGTCGCTCCACCTGAGGATCAAGCCCCGCAATACCTCGGGCGGGCTAGTTAAACTCCCCCGAATCGTTTGTCCGTTCTCTTCCCTGGACAAGCGAGAGCATATGGCGCACAGTGATGCGCATAATCTTTGCGCCTTGGTATGTGACTGTTTTGACGTGAGATGACTGACACCTCTCCATCTTCTCCGAGCGGGGTTGTTGAAACGAGGAGATCCAGTGACCAGACACGACCAAAGGTGCCTAGATCGAGGAATGGCTGCAAAGCATGGTTAGTATACACCTCGCAAATGATGAGGTTTCGAGTGAGCTAATTGCATTCAAGCAAGGCTTCCCGGAAAAAGTGCGACGAGGTGAGGCCAGCATGTGCTCGATGTGCAAAGCGCAGTCTCGAATGCGTCTATGATACGACTCGACGCCATCAGATCAACGTCGCCCCAAACACTCCACGTCGTCGCGAGTCTGTCTCTGATCCCAGAGATAGAAACCAAGACTCTCAGTCAGGAACGCCAAACGCAATTTCGAATTATATCGATCCCACCCTTGGAATCCCGCTAGAGTCTGGACAACAATGGTCCTATCTCTCTGGCGATGGCTGGAATCACACCGATGGCACACGCAAGGTGCCCGAAGATCTTGCCGGATCCTTACGCTTCATCGAATCTGCCTTTCCGAGGGTTAGCCATGTGTCTCCGAACTCAGCTACTGGAAGCGACACACTACCTTTAGGCGAGGGAGCATACAACATCTCGAACTACGAATTCGGGGCTGATTCTCCCAGTGGCGCGCATTTAGAACTATGGAGACATGAGCAAACGTACTTGAAGGCCTTTCAAGAAGAGTTCTGGCCCATCATTGCAAGGAAGGAAGAAGAGCCGAGCCCAGGAGAGTTGCATTTTGCTCAGCTCTCACTCTTCGAGCCTTTAAGGCATGCAATAATCGCAGTCGGGTCTGCTTGGAAAGCTCAAACAAGTGAAGCCTCGTCGACACAGCAGCAATATCTGGACGAAAGCATTCGCTATCACTCCAAAGCAGTTCGAGGCCTGAAAATATCGATTGGCCGACAGGATAGATCTCCTTGGAATTCCATCATCGCGTGTACCTTCTGTCTTCTATTCTATGAATTGCTTCGGGATGATGTTTCGACCACTCCTGCTCATCACCTCCTTGGCTCCCTTCACCTTCTCAAAGTGGATAAGAACGCGGGCCTGAACAGGACCAGTACCTTTCATCACAAGGTAAGTCGGCTCTAAGCGGACGTGTATACGAGGGATAACAACAAAACAGCTCTTCAGGTACTACGATGTAATTGTCGCACTGTCCTTGGGGCGGCGACCACTGACAGGAAGCCTGACATATCAAGATGAAAGTCTCAGCACGACTCGTGGAATAAACGCTACAACATCGACAGATCCCTATGGCTGCGTAGACAATGTATTCGGCCTCGCTGTAGGTCTTTGGCCACTTCTTCACCGTCTTGCACAACTCTCCAGACTATCGGATCCTATCGGAGCAGGATCGACTACTCAGACATCCCCTCCAGGCACGAACTCACCGATCTTTTCCTCATCTACAGGCAAACATGAACGAATCTCCCTCGCTGCCCTAGAGCTGTCTTTTATGGAGTGGAAACCTCATCTGGAGTTGTATGCGGTCAACATGGAGCATGCCGCTTCCGACTCCTCGCTCCAGTCACTTCTTCAAAACGCTGAAGCCTACCGCTACTCTGCACTCATACATCTGTACTGCCATTGCGGGGACTCTCGGGCATCGCCACGTATCCAGAGAGCCGTGCAGGCAGCACTTGATTGCTGTCTTCGTGTCATGGTCTTTGGAAAGCCTTTCGGAGGGTTGCTTTGGCCACTTTTTGTTGCTGGAACGTGCACGATCACATCCAGTCACCGCAATATCACAACTACTGTTCTAGATCAACTGCTTGAGGTTCAAGGCTTGAGCAATATCGCCAAAGCCAAGAGCCTGCTACTGGAGGTCTGGCAGCATATGGACGCTGCGGATGGTACTGTCAAATGGCAAGATGCGGCTAGGACGTTAGGGAAATCAGTCGTTCTTGCTTAAGATGTTCAGTATGTTCTGGTTCGGGATGCGAAGCACAATTCGCGGGATGATTCTACAGCTGCTGCCCGTAAGCTGAAGCCGAATTCCAGGTCACGCAGTACACTGCCAGCTAACCGCAAGTAATATGCTAGGCTGGATCGTCAGCTGGCTGATTGGTGTCCATTTGTCAGACCATTCGTTTGTGGGAACGAGTCGGGTTCAACCTTGAGCACCCATCGGTACCGAGCACCACCTTTAGATACCGACTCAACCACTTTCTTGCAGCCGGCGCTCGACATTCGTTCTGTGTGAATCCAACTTCGAACGTCATTCTTGGCAGCAACTTCTAGCATAGCTAGAGCCTCACGGCGATTCCCGATATGAGTCGCTCCAATGGTACAACCATTAGGCAAGAAGTCGGTTGCATGTATAGTAGGGAGAGCTTTGTTCGGCATACCCACCCTGCGCCTTATAAGCATTGCATATCATCGAAGTTGATGCAAGAGGGACTCACGTCATGAATCTTCCTAAGGGTCTCAACAAGCTCATGCACTCCTTCAAAGGGAAGCCTTCATCGCAATCACTCGTACTCACGACGATATCCAACGTCTGTTCGAGGTCTTGATGCCAATTCTTGCCGCTCGTGTCGACAAAATGTGTGGCGCCCATCTGTCGGAGCCAGCCGCGTCAGCATGTGCGGAAGTGTCTCGAAGACTAGGTACCCACCTTAAGGCAATCGTCTCGTTTGCTCGGTGAATGAGACAATGCCCATACTTCAGCACCAAGAGCCGCAGCAAACTGTACGGCATAGTGGCCCAGCCCTCCGATACCCACCACACCGACTTTCTTTCCTTTTCCACAACCGTTCTGCACGAGCGGCGCGAACACCGTGAGACCTCCACACAACATCGGCGCCACTTGATCGGGTGAAAGAGCGTCCTGCACCGTCGAGGGTCAGTAGCTACTTCGAGCAGATTGAAGAAAGTAATTCTCCATCAGTTGCAAACAGAATGAGTGGTTTACCGGAATCTTGAAAACGAAATGCCCATCAACGCGAATGTAGTCCGCATATCCGCCCTGCGTCCGCGTGCCATCAGGCCAATGCCCGTCATATGTGTCCACAAAGCCACGTAGACAGTAATTCTCATGGCCATCTCGGCAACTTCGGCATGAACCACAACTTCCAATCTGTGCGCCGCAACCGACAACATCGCCGACTTGGATGTCTTTGACATTGCGGCCGACCCTGCGGGCGATGCCAGCCACTTCGTGACCCACGACCAAGGGATATTTTGGTATCTTCCAGCCCTAGAGTCTGTATTAGCAATAAATATTGTCGCAGCTGAGGGGCGTGCATGTTTCGAGGATCTTGACTTCTCGCTGGAGCAAGAACGTCCGAGATGTGCCTTGACATGTAGCACGCCCGTCTAGGACGGAGACTTACACCAGAGATCATGTGCACATCGCTCCCGCATACGCCACAGTGAGTGATCTCGATATCAACATCGTCCTCGCTCCAGGTCTTGGGCTTGAAGACCAGGAGCTCGAAATCAGTCCATCGCTCGTGCGACTGCGATGCAAAGCCCTGGAATGTATCTGGATATGCCATGGCTAGAGGCTCTGAGCAAGTAAAAGATACAGAAACGAGAGCAGTCTTCAGAGATCAGGAAGAACTTCTAGGTGGTAATGAAGAGCGATGTTTCGCATTGGAGTCAAGCTACCCACTGTGGCAGTCCCGTCGCAAGCCAGCCTGTCTCTCGCCGTAAGCGCTGGTGCCGCAGTGCACTTCTGACCCCATCCTTGATCGGTACTACAAAGCCTCCGATCGGTCGCCATTGCTGTGGACAATCGAAAACCGTCTGCTATCTGGCGGCAGTTGTGCGGAGTATAGAGGGTCGCTTGTGCGAGGACGTAGATCTCCCCAAACCCTATGTTGCGCGAAAGCTGCGTCGCGTCGCGTCGCGAAAAGGACTGGCGACCCGACCCCAACTTCGCAGCCACCCGATGCCTTGCTAAGATATAGCCAAGACGCCTCCTGTACGACGTGCTTGGCCGCCTCTGTACGAGTCACCCCGGTTCCTTGGAACAGCAAAACGCATCTCTGTCCATAGCTTCTGTGGTGTTCAAGTGGACAGGTTATGTCAGAATTCAAGATGAAGATCTTACAAAACACAAGATCGGTAGCGTTACCATGGCCATCCAGATCTCGCGCCGCGGAACAGCCATACCTCGTCATCAGTCCAGAACCGCAATACGCCTCATGGGCATCACCAGTACCTGTGTCCCTCTCCTCCACTACTGCGACATGCATTTACTGAGCGGAGGCTATGATCTGCGACTAGTCACCCCAGCCTCGGCATCCGCGGTCAACAGACGAGACGGTCACGCAAGTTGCCTGCTACAGACGCTGCCGCAGGTGCGATATATCGCAACGACAAAGCCATTCGAAGCAAGTTCTGCTGGAGCTGAAGCCCGGAAAGCAGCATTCCCCCCGCAGGTTGATCTCAGGCCTGATGCTTGCGTGTCGTCGAGCCCAGGAACTTGAGCAGCATACGGCAGTCGCTGGAGAAAAGAAGCAGTGCAGCGGTCCGGCTTCTACTGCTCTGAGAGGTATTTACTAGCGACAAACAGCAGACCTTGGGTCTCAAGGAAAAGAACTGGAAATGAGGTTGCTTTTGTTTCACAATAGATGTCTCCAAGGCGCGGGACTGCGACAACGCCTTCTCATGGTCAAGCAGTCCGGCGAATATGTATTATTCAGCGATCTGACCAAAGCGGGAGCCACTAGTGTTGCTATCGTTTCTCCTCGACATTGTGGCTGAGTAGGCTGTCCCGTGATACATCTCAGCGGATGAAGAGTAAGGGACCATGCGTCTGGCATCATCTTGCGCGCATAATGGCTCGGAATATGCTGGTGCTTATCGGGACAATGGGCCTGGCGGCATGGGAATTGCATGCGTCCGTCGTATGGGCTCTGGTCGTGTTGTCGTTCTGGCAGACAAACCACAGGACACTCGGGATCGAGTGACCCCGTGCTTGGAGTTGGATGGCTATACCATCGAATTGCACATTGTTGACAACTTGACTCGTCCCAAGTTACAGAGCTCGTCACGAAGTTTACTTACATGTTAGCTGACTTTTGATCCGATGCCGTTGACGGGAATTGTCATCACCGAGGCTTAGTCTCGGACACGACAGATGCATGTTGCCGCCGATCGATGCAGCATGCCGAGATCTGAATGAGAGCTTGGGTGTCAGTGATGCACTAATAGCTCGAGCAACTGCCGAAGATCATCAGGGAACTCATAAACAACACCGAACGCGGGGATCGATGAGTGGCACATCGCCCGTTAACCTTTCCACCTACGCACATTTACCCCGGTTCCTGGATCACGCCCCGGATTTGCATAACCTTACAAGGGCTAGTCGTGCCGCGGGTGACACTTCTACCCGAGACTTCGCTTCTCTCAAGGCACGCTCAGTGCCCCACCTGTGTTCGTTCCATAATCACTCTTTAATGTATCACTCACCGCCACACGCCCGAAGATTTACTCGGTGCTAAAGCGTTCGAAGGTACAGCAACCCACAAAATATAAGTACAAGCTTGACAACACTGGTGCTTGTCACTGACAAGACCCCGCCTAGCGTGCGAGTCTCGGGTAAATACCTGCCGGTCATGGCCCCTAGTTCCCGGCCAAGGTCGTGCAGCCCCTCACAGATCGGCAGGGAAGCTTCGAAAAACGTGGTGGCTGCTGCCAAATTACCTCATCATGCCCTGAAGCCGGAGGATTTATAACAACGCGGTGACCAGCTAGATCATGGAGGTGGCACACAACGCCTCAACCGTCAACAGTATGTTCTCAGGAGCAATGTTCGCCCCACTAGTCTGCGGTCTGTTGTTCGGTCCAGCTTTCGCACAGGACGTCCCTCAGAATGCTCTCGTGGTTGATAGACTCAAGCTCAATGCTTTGGAGACGGTACAACCGCCGTCGGTGGAGAACCTGACCACCGTATGAGCTTGGCCTCCGAAATCATGCCAACTCTCTGCTAATACTGCCAGGTCTTCCTACCGCCTGGGATCACTGAGGAGGACGCAAAGTCCAAGCCCTTCCATGTCTACGACGAGGCTTTCCTTGACATAATTGGATCCCGCCCAACACTAAATATCATTGCCACCAGTGAAGAGGACCCGATCTTCCATGAAGCCGTGGTCTGGTGAGTCTAAGGCTGAGCCCGCTTTATCATATAAATGCCCTCTCACAGGTCACACTAGGTACCCAACCACAGACGAGGTTTTCTTCGTCCAAAATGCTGGGGCTATGGCCGCTGGGACTGGGTTGAACAAATCCAACATCATTCAGAAGATCTCGCTACCAGCTGCACAAGCATTTGCCAATGGCACGAACCAGACTGCTGAGGTCGAAGTCACCACCGTCAGCCCGGAACCCAACGTAATTAACTCCAACGGTAAGTCACATAGTCCACGGAAGCTATCGAGCAGATGTTAAGCTCCCTAATAGGCGCAACCAACTTCCGAGGCCAGCTGATCTTCACTGGCGAAGGCCAAGGAGATGATATTCCGTCTACATTATATCTTATGAACCCCAAAGAACCATACAACACCTCAGGTACGTCTACCTCTACGCCCTCCATGCCCTGGCAGCTGATCCGTCCAGTATTGGTCAACAACTACTATGGCCGCCAGTTCAACTCCCTCAACGACGTTGCCATCAACCCCCGCAATGGTGATATCTACTTCACGGATTCCCTTTATGGCTATTTACAGGACTTCCGTCCGCCACCGTCCATCCCCACGCTGGTATATCGCCTCAACGCCGACACCGGCGCTCTCTCCGCAGTGGCCGATCAATTCGACAAGCCCAATGGTACGTGTGTCCACGCGATGTAAATCATTCCCAAAAGCTGAATGACCCCCACCAGGACTCACATTCTCTCCCAACGGCTCCTACGCTTACGTGACCGACACGGGCGCAGCCCTGGGCTTCTACGGCTTCAACTACTCCTCTCCAGCTACTATGTACGTCTCACTCCCCTCACTCCCCGGGGCTATAGTCCAGTACCTAGTCAAATATTCCCGAAACCTCTGCCGTAACTCCACAGCCAGTCCCAGTACTAACATCTGACCCGAAAGCTACCGCTACAACGTCGAAGAAGACGGCACTTTCTCCTCCCGCAAGACGTTCGCGTACGCCTCGCCAGGATTCCCGGACGGCATCCATTGCGACACCAACGGCAATGTCTACGCCGGTGTCGGTGACGGCGTGCACGTGTGGAACGAGGCGGGCCTGCTGCTCGGCAAGATCTTTACAGGCCAGACGGTGGCGAACTTCCGGTTCATCGGAAGTGGGCGCATGGTCATCGCTGCGGAGACAGAGCTGTTTTACGCCACGGTCGCGGCGGCGGGGGCGGATCCGGAGGATCAGTATTAGGTGGGTCGTAGTGGAGGGTGTGATGCTAATGATGACCGAGTAGGCGTGCGCTGCCTCTGGGTCAGAATGTATATATATGCACGTATTCAATGAAATTCTTTCTGGGAAGGTGGCAGGTGATACGCTGAAGCATTGCTCGTAGAACACAGACAACAAGAAAAACGTAAGACTATAGGAACGACACGACACTGAAGCACGAAGCTCTTCCATCCTCGCCCTCTCCCCAACTCGAATTCCACCATACGATCATCGCCATCCACCCACACTCCCTCCTCCCTCACTCGGCCGGCTCATCCTCATGAAACACCAAACACCTGACCTCAATACTCTCCCGGGCCTCCTCGCCCTCGGTCTCCGGGTTCGTGAACGCCGTGTGCGGCACGCGCCTTGCGCGCCCATCCAACTTGCTATCGTAGCACTTGATGAGCAGCACCTCCTGCGGCTCCTGGCCGTACAGGTAGTGCCACCGGTGATTCTCGTTGGGCAGCACCGACAAGGTCTCGCCCCGGCGGTTCGGGTAGATGAGGCCGACGGGCACGAGGTCCGTCTCCGGCACCGAGTGCGCGTCGGCGACGGCGAGGGGGTCTTTGAGGATGCGCTTGATGGGCCGCCACACGTTGATGATCTGGTGGCGCGTGGTGAGAAGCTGGTCCGCGAGCGAGGGCAGGTGGTGCGGCACGCGGGAGCGCGATGCGCTGTAGGACTGGTCGATGTGCACGCGGTTGACGGGGCCGCGGATCGGGTTGGGCCCACCGGTGCGTTGGTCCGAGGGCGCGCGCCGGATGGTGTGGTCGAAGATGAAGACGCGGCTGGCGCCGGTGCTGGAAGGTTGGAGTGTCAGCGTGGATTGGAAGGAGTCAAGAGAAGAGAGAGGGGGTGGGCGTACGCTTCCTTCAGGAGACGCTCCGTCTCAGGGTAGTACTCGGCCTTGATCTTGTCGTCATCCGAGAAGTCCTTCTCAGACGAGGGGAAGTTGTAGATCTGGAAGCCTTGGCCGTCAAGTGTATACTTGTCGGACTCGCCGCGGATGTCATGGACGGTTACGTCGGTGGGTTGCACAGGCCGCTCGTAAGACTCAGGCTTGCCGACATACTGACGACACGGTCAGGGTTGAAATGGCGGACGGAGTGCTAGGTGGCAACTTACCGCGGGCGCGGGCGGGCTGCCATCCTCGTTGGGCTTATAGTAGTTCAGGTGGGTATGAACATGGTGCTTGGTCACGCCGCTCTGCACTGTGGTGAGCGGCTCGAACGACGTTGTGTGGGCGCCGGTGGATTGATGGACTGCTGCTGATGCCATGATGTGGGATAAGGGCGTGCTACTGATGAGGTCAATACTGCTCTATCGTAGTGAGCATCACTTCAGGCCAGGGAGGGTGTATATATGCTTCTCCGCATCAGCGGTCCCTGATTTGTCAGATCGCACGCCATACAGAGCGACATGTTCGTGATATTGCATACGTGTGGGGTAAAGAAGCGCTGGGGATTGGGAAGCCAATAACGCTGAAGCCCAGGTGTAGCAGGTGCTGTGAAAGGTGAGTATTAGGCTTATCATGAGACCTTGATTGGAAATCCAGCGCTTTATCCGTTGTCTAGTCCGCTCCTCTATGCTGGCCTATGTACGAGTTTAGTGATCGCAGTGCCGTCTTTGAGCGTATGGAATTCTTCCTCAAGCACGTAGCCTCGGTAACGCGGGATGGCGACAGCCATTGCGTACCAATAGAGGAAGCCAAAGATGATACTGATGAATCCATTAGTCTTGAACTGCGAGTACGCGCGGGCGGGGTTGTCTGCTTACACCGCAAGGCCCACCAGCGCATATGTGGCGTAGAAGAAGCCCACGTCAGATGCACCATCTTTGGGTGGAAACAGGGGCGCAAGGATGAGAGAGATCCCCAGAAATACCCTAAACCACACTGCGGGGAGCCAGGCCTTGAAAGGGCGTTTGAGGTCGGGCTTCTTGTAACGGAGTAAGACAAGCCCCGCTGTCACAGCCAGACCATACCACTGCGCGGCATAGAGCTCGACGTCCACAATGAATGAGTACACTGAACTTGAAGGTGGGAGAACAATGACCAAAAGGGAGGGAATGTAGTGTACAATGAGCCCACCAAGCGGAGAGCCGAAAGGTTCGTTCGATGCCAGTAGACGCTGGCAGGGAAGAAAGCCTTGTCTCGCAATCTCTTGGTTCAGACGAGCCTGCTCTCTTAGTAAAGAATCTCGGCGGGATTGGAGCGAGTTACCAAACTAAACGTCACAACCATTACATTTCCAGCTGCACTTAATGCAATCGCCACTGGAAGGAAGGCACGGCCAAGGCCAAGATTCTCGAAGAAGAGCGCAGCGATCAGCTCTCGGCTTTGCTTGAGCTGGTCCAGCGGGACCACCGACAGATAAGCGATGTTGATGAGAAGGTATAGGACAAGGGTCGTAAGAAGTGCAGCAGGGCCTACAGTCTTGACAGTCCGGACCGGGTTCTTGACTTCGTTCAAGACATTGTTGACATTCTCGAGGCCAGCGAACGAGTAGAGGACCTTGAACAGCGTAGTAGAAAGGGTATTCAGTTCCCAGTTCGAGTCCACCCAGATGCCGTCCCAAGTTGACAACGGTTGGCGATGGCTGAAGAACAACGTCGCCAAGATGCCGGTCGCAATCATGAAAATGGTCAGCGATATCTTCAGCCATCCAAGGGCGTTCTGGATCCAAATGCCAGTCCGGTAGAAGCCTCCGTGGATGACAGTGATGAGGGTGAGAAGTCCCGCTGCAAGTACCTTCGTGGTCAGGTCTGTTGGCTCTTTGTTGGCGGCAAACAAAATGTACTTCGCGAATATGATGCAATTCGTTGCTGTGAACCCGAGTAGCACGGCCTGTACCGCCACCATGGTGGACGCGAGGAACCTGGGCCACCGATAGGTATACTCCAGGTAGACCTTGACGCCTCCCGACCGTGGCAGCATAGCCCCATATTCAATGGAGATGGCCAGGCCAGCCCACGCAACGAGCGCTCCAAGTACCCACAGCGTCAGTGCCAGGCCAGGGCTGCCGACGTCTTGGAGTATGATTCCAGGCATGGCGAATATACCAGAGCCGATAACGCGTGAGATCACAAGGATATAGGCGCTGCTCCAGCCGATTTTGCGGCCCAGCGTTGAGGCTTCAGGCTTCACATCGTCATCGATGGCATGACTGGCTTTTGGTAGGAGAGGCTCATGGTTCGATATGGTCGACGCATTATCAGATTGCCGTTCTGGATCCAACAACGGCGTTCTCTCGCTGCTGGTGCTCGTTATCGTGTTGAGCGATTCTTCATCCGCTGGGTGCGCCATGCTGAAAGTGGCACCCACGCATCAAATGAGACACCAGGAGAAGGGGAAGATACGAAAGAGAAAGTCTGCGGTCGAGGCCACATTGTGCCTGAGCTTCAGGGTTCGCAGTCGACATCCGTGTTGGCTGCTGGCCTCAGTGGTGAAGCCGCATTTGCCGGGAGGTTATACAATCAAGGGGCCCAATCACGCCATATCTGAGACCGAGTTGGGTTTGCTTACGAATTACAGGCGGCATAGGATGGCGGTTGCGCTCATCATCCTTGATCAGAATACTGCACAACTGGCAACGCAGCAGTCACGTCCCGAAAGGAAGTGTGTGAGGCGATGATGGCATTTTCTTGAGCGCTTGAATGATCTCAACAAGAGAGATGGCATCGCTTTCGGTGCGGCCACGCCGGTAGCCTGGCTCCGCCCTGCCCCCCCATGCCAAGCCTGCGGCAGTACTGCTGCTGGTAGCTCGACACGGCGCAGGTTGCAATGAGACTCGCATTCAAGTGGTAAAGCTTAGAGTCGCGGCTTATCAACTCTCTGGCAGAGCTACGCTAGGAACTGGAACGGGTCATGTTGCTACCTGAAATGGAATGTACCCCATACCTGAGCGCCGTTAATGTCCCACCCATCGCTGGTGTGAATCCGGCCGCACCCCGGATCCTCCTCTTATCTTGCGTCGTTTCAAGCATAGACCCTCAGCCGGCCGACTACTGGTCCAACAGGCAATACCCGTGCTGGTTCTGAGCTCGGCGAGACCCATGTCTAGCGCCGCCCGCGCGCCAAGCTGCCTCTTCGGGCGGCTGTCATCGGCGGTTTTGTCGCCGCGCTTCGTCTTCATCCAAGGCTCTGGACCTCAGGAGATCACAACCACCGGCCGCCGGTCCCAACGACTCATTCCTACTGGGACAATCATCTTCTCAGCAAGATTTGCCCCTGCTTCGTGGAGATGGTCTGCATACCGATCATGAGGTTCCGGCGCGAAGTCATCTGACCAGACAACGGCCGCATCGGGCTCTGGCGGAAGAAGCACGCTATTGACCCACACCGTCGCATCACCTGCTGCCCCATGCACATACGCCAAGCTTGCTTCGGCCATAACCCTATCCCATATGGCGATGAAGTTGGCTTTGTTGCGTGTTTGACCGGATTGGCCGCTGGGCGCAGACCAGCTGAGCCAGGGCAGAGGCGCTTTCTCTTTGAGTTGACCTTTTGACTTCGGGGAGCGTTGGAGGCTGATGGCATCGCGGTCAAGATCGACTTCGGCTTTGAGATTCTCGAACTCTTCCCAGATGTAGTCACGGAGGTGTCGATGCTGTGACTGGTTACCAGAACTCCCGTGATCAGTCGAAACCGAGACGCTGTGTGGCTGTGACATTCTTACTCTGTCTCGACCAGAGCGGCGAATGGTGATGAAGAAACAGTTCGCAGGAGACGAATTGTGTAATCGAGGGTGTTGATGCCCACAGTTCTGGCACCGTCCGGATCGAATCGTCTCAGGAGACATAATTTGTGCTGTCTGCGGCGATGAGTGTAACGAAGTGGGCCGCAACGTGAACTTCGAGATAGACTTGCTGGGCATATATAGTGGTTTGATGGGCGAGAAGGGGTCAGTCATGGTCACCATGATTGCGCGTGCTGTGACGGCGGCGTGTCGGACCTTGGTAAAGCGCTGGCGGCGTGTCGGCGACAAGCACCGTTTGCAGGATCTAGATTGTTGGAGATTTGCAATAGTTGCGAGAGGCTCTTGTGCCGGGGTACCCGCCGGATAGAAATCGGAGTATAGTTGCTCGTAAGTCGAGAGCTGGCTGACGTGGCGTGCAGGAGAAACCTGTGACTGTCAGACGTTCTCAGCGAAGCACTCAGGGAACAAAACAGTCTAATAAGTTGAGCGGTCCGGCGCATGAGCAAGTAACTCAGGCTGGATATGTGCTCTGCACTTGGCTGAGCATGGAATCAACCCCACATCCATTCGCGGGCGAATGAGGACATCGGAAACCTGCTCACAGGGGTATTCTAGTGGACCATGCGCAAGTTGTCTGCATATACGGTCGACCCTGGTCGTGCCGGACGTGTTCGTGATGTGGTATACAACGTACAGTCCTGGGCGGCCCCCAAACCATTGCATTCCTCCAATTTGGCTTCCTCGAGCCTCAAAGCGGTTGGCAAGCTTGTCCAGGCTGCTATCGGCCAGGCTATAGCTGTCCCCCGTACGCCGTGCTTGTCAGTCTTGCAATCTCGGTGAATGTTTGTGGTGATGATATTCTACAGTTTCGACTGGTCGTCTAGCACAGCAGACCAGCCTTGAGGCATTGCCGGGTCTGTGGATATTCTCTTTCCAAGATTCGCGCAGTCCTGTGGTCTATGAGCAAGAAAGCCGCGTGTCAGATATTGGATGATGTTGCTGACAGTACGGCATATGCCTCCTGCGCCATGGCGGTTGCCATCCGAGCTGCACGAGCATCCTAGTCTAGCCAGCTCTGCCGCTTTGGCTTCCCGCCTTCACCTTCGATTAGTCCGTCGCCAAGAATATACACGTAACGGCTCAGCAGATTGCGTATTATAGGTCTCTTGTAGTCCGTTCTGCGAGCAGGCTCATTGCCTGACATGGACTATATCTTCTTCCGACCACCATCCTGGTGCGATCGTCGGCCATGCCCCGAAGGGCTTCTATTTCGACTGGGGGTTATTCTCGCAATCTCTAATCTGCGAGGGCAATCCGCAAGTATGGCAGGCCAACGTTGGCTCTCCTTGGAGTTGTCTTCAACGGTTCGGGTCCTCTTATCGCAGAAGTTCGATGGGGCCCGGTCATGGCATAGAAAGGCAGCGTAAAATTTGAGGGCATACCGAATGCCTTGATGTATGACGCCTCCTGGTTGAACAAAACGCGAAACCCCTATTCCTGTCTTGAATTTCCGAGCATCGACGCGCGGGTGTTGAGAATCTCCTGACCGAAACGATTTGATCCTTAGAAAACCTTCATTGCGTCTTCTTTCGCGCAGCTTCCCGGAAAACTGTGAAGTAATCAGCTCCAATACTTCAGTAGTAGCAAACATCCAGCATTGATCTAGTCAGAGAAATTCAGAAGCGACCAAAGTGAGAAGGTTCCGCGGGATGGTCTGCTTGCTCGGTGACATTGTATCGGCGCTGTGCACCAGGACTCCCTAAGATATCTCGTCACAGAAAGGCGAGTTGCTATTGTACAAACGCACCCGACGTCTACCAGCTCATTAGTGCGAATCTATTTGCCTCTCCTGCGCTTGCCCTGGTTTCGTGGTCGTTCCTGCACGACGAGCTTGTTGACCTTGCTCCTCGGTCGAGTTTTGAAACCAGACTTGGCCTGCACAGGTTTGTTAGCTTCATGTCACTGATGCGATCAACTGGTATACTCACAGGCTTGCCCCATGGACTGACGGGATCGTTATTGCCCTTGCCTTTACCGCGACCACCGCCGTGAGGATGATCAACGGCGTTCATAGCGACACCTCGCACGGTCGGACGAATGCCCAACCATCGCTTGCGACCAGCTTTGCCTAGAGAAGTGTACTTGAAATTGGCGTTGGAGGCGACCCCGATGGTAGCCACTGCATCTTTGTCGACGAGGCGGATCTCGCCGCTGGATAGCTTTACAGTCACGAACTGGGCTGCCTTCTCGTAGCGCGTTAGTTGTTCGGGTGTCAGAGCTGAGAGCTGCATATTGCCACCATCCGAGGTGACAGCTCCTTGATCGCTGATGAATTTGAGCATCTCCTTCTGTACCTCATCTTCACCCTTGGCGATGATGACGCCGTGAGTGCCGGCGCTGCGACAGATCTTGCCAATAGACGCCTTGTCTGGTGTAATGTTGAAGATAGGTGTTCCGACTGGGATCATGCCCAACTTCAGACAGTTACCTCGGTGCGCAGTCTTTGAGGCGATCAGACCACGGTCAATATCACCTCCCATTCCGTCAAGAAGTTCTTGAGGAAGACCTGATCGATAGCTCTCGACAACATCACCGGCACGCATGCCCTCCGCAGCCAGAATGTAACTCAGCTTCTGAGTCTGCTCGTGGCGGACAAGCGCAATGTGTGCTGTCCTGCCAGGGTCGTGCTCAATTCGCTCAACAATATGCCTGCCTCCATCTTCTCTCATGAAGTCGACGGTCCTTAATCTTCGCTTGTGGCCTCCACCTCTGTGTCGAACCACGACTCGACCGGTGTGGTTTCTACCACCTCTCGCATGTCCCTTTTTCGGTGTGGTCAGTTTGAATACAGGTCGGCCGCGCCATATATGGTCGTTGATAGGTCTGACAAGATGGCGGATACCAGGCGTGCGAGGAGTGTATCGACGCAAAGCAGATTCTCCAAATACAGGTTGTAATCTGTCTTGCGGGACTGATTTCACCCCTGGGGCCGACAAATCGATGCTCTGAGACGGGGCAAGAGGATCAACGACTTGAGCGTAGGTTCGTGATAGTGACGGTACTATGCTCTGACAGCTAGCACACGCCCGGCGGAGAGCTATCCTCGGTTGAAGCATGGTGACTGTACTTCACAGAGCTCAATCAGAGACGAGTACTGTGAAGCAGGTTACCGCCTCATCGCCCAATTAATCAGATAGCGTTATGATCGATGCTCGAATAGACGAGTGCCTCCACAGGATGCGGAATAAGTAAGCAACAGAATCGAAGCAGACTGGGATGAACGTCAAAAACACGACGAGTGACCTGCGCAGTGAGCTCGATCAACTCCCGGCGAAAATTATCACCCAATCGGAGGGCTGGTCGATGTGACGTAAGGCTGAGTGTCAGCCTTGCCTATAGAAGAAGGCAACCACTCGATGCATTGGCCGCTTTGTTATGTCTACCTCAAGGCCTCTACTTCAGCCCAGAATTTGTGCTTCGATCAGCAAGCTTGGTTGAGTCATTGACTAGACAAAAGTTCTGTATGTGAGTGTGCATCTGCAAGGACGCAGAGCGACGTTCTATGAGGAGGCCTCCAGACAATCACTCGGCGAAGGCCTCCCAGGCTTAGCGTCGACCATGGCTTTTTACCACCAAAAGAGGCTCGTACTTGACGGCAATCTATGTACAGTACGCTACCATGGCCCGCTCGAAGGTACATCAGGTGAATGGCTTGGCGTGGAGTGGGATGATCCTACTCGCGGGAAACATGATGGCAGCCACAAAGGCAAGCGCGTATTCCAGTGTCTATCGACTTCCCCGACAGCAGCTTCGTTCATTCGGCCAGCAAGGAAACCGGACGAAACAAGAACTGTACTGCAAGCCATCAAGTACAAATACGAACATGCACCACAGGCAAATGGGAGCCTTAAGGGGCCAGGCTATCAGATCATCGAGATCTCGAAGAAGAAAGTCGAGGAGGTTGGTTTCGACAAAATCAACGAGCAGATGTCGCATCTGGAGAACCTGAAGGTTGTTCTGTTGGATCAGTTGAAAGTGTCTGGACTTACAAAGTCTGTCGTGAAGGCAGACGTGCAAGCAGCACGAACAGAACTGGCGGAGACGTGCCCAAACATCATAGAGCTTGATGTGGGCTGGAACCCCATTGAGGATTGGAACGATATTCTGTTGACATGTTCAGCACTCAAGAAGCTACGAACTCTCAAAGCAAGCGGTCTGCGCTTGAGATCTCTACGGCCTCAACAGCAGGTGGAACACATTACCGAGTTACATCTCAGCGAATGTCTCTTAAGGATGTCAGAAGTCCTCTCGCTCCTCTCATTGGATGATAAACCTGTCTTTCCGAACCTCAACACTCTCTGGCTCTCTTCAAACGAGCTCGATTCTTTCGACGTTAGCGACTCCTCCAGCATTGTTGGCTCCATTACTTCGCTCGTGATCGAGAATAACCGCTTCACCACGCTTGCTCCATTGCAAGAACTGCTTCGGCACTTCCCGAACCTTACCTCTCTTTCACTCCAAGGCAATCTTGTCTCAAGTACCGGTCTTCCACCGAGCACCATGCTCTCCAGTACATTAAAGGACCTGAATATCGCGTCCAATAACATCAGCACATTCCACACCGTCGACGCACTTCCCACGCTTTTCCCTTCGCTCGCCTCTCTGAGGATCTCCAAGAACCCCCTCTACGATGCCCTTGCGCAGGGATCCACCGCTACCAGTACGTCCGGCCGCCCGTCCGACACTGCTTTCTACCTCACATTGGCACGCCTACCTACTCTCACAACCTTAAACTACACCACCGTTACTCCACGAGACCGCGAAGAAGGCGAAATCTATTACCTCTTCATCACGGAGAAGGAGATCCGTACCAAGATCGCCACTGCCCCAACCTCGTCACACGACACTATCCTGAGAGACCTACGGCCGAGCTACACCCGGTACGCTCGGCTCTGTGAGAAGTATGAGCGCGTCAACGTGCTGCTCTCATCCTCTCCGGCGGCGGTTCTGGAGGCTGCCAAGACCCCTTTGTTTGCCGAAGGTAACGTCAAGTCACTCGCTGGTCGGTTGGTGCGGGCCGTATTCTATGTGGCATCCAGTGACCGGCGGTTTGAAAGGGTGCTGCCACGAACAACACCAGTATATACGCTGAAGAGCCTGCTGGCGCGGGAATTGGGGCTGCGGCCGCTGCATTTTAGACTGGTGTATGAGAGCCCGGAATTGGATCCTGTACAGGTGACGACGACAAAATTGTACGGTGGCCGTGAGCAATGGGAGGCCTGGGGGAGATGGGATGTTGATTTGCAGCCGCCGGTGGATGAGACGAGGGTGAGTGGTGGCGAGACGCGCCGAGAAAGCAACGGAATGGCGGTTGATGATGATGAAGAGGAAATTGGAGGCAAGTGGGTTGACGGGGAACTGCTGAAAGGCGGAACACGATGGCGGAGACGAGAGGTGGAGGTGCTGGACGGGATGCGGGAGTGGGGAGACTATCTTGAGAGTGACTTGCAGGACGTAAAGATGAGGATCGAGCTATTCGACAAGATAGGACAATGATTGTACAAGAAAGTGGATAGCTTGATTATCTAAATATTGTACAGGCTCTGCTCGTCAAGTGCCAGCGCTATGCTAGGCGAGCCATGCCTTGAAGTGACAACCTTGAGCCTCGAAGCTCGCATCGGGTAGTATACAGGCGTGTCCATGGTTGACGATATCTAGTCGTCCTCGTATGCAAGGTCTCGCTTCACTGGCTGATTTCTTAGGTCCTGCACCTCGTATGCTCGTGTCTTTTCTTCGCCCCTGCCGATACGTTCTGCCCTGGCTGCCTCCTCAAAATCGAGCTCAAAGCGACGCATACGATCCGTGATCCGCGGATCGATCGCCATGTCGTTCACCCAAATCCGTTCAGAATCGTCGCCTTCTTTTAGAGGCTTGCGAACAGACTTGTGCCATGTGCGTTCCTCCACAGCAAGTAGCGAGGCTTGCTCACAGGCATTTGACGGGTTTGACGGTGCATCCGAGTCCGGGCTTGAGACCGGAAAGCTCTCATCAGTGGCAGCCGCCTCTGAGAAGCTGGAGTCAGAGGTGTAATATGGTCTAGAAGCAGCGAGAACGATGGCTGCTGTTTCGCGGCCGACATTATCGGCAAGAGTGCGTTGATTGAGGTAGTTCCATACACGGATGGGGGTTTTGAGGAAGCCGAGAAGGTGATATTGGTAGATGGGTTGTGACGGTTCAAGAATGGCGGGCATTGTTGGTGCAAGTGCTGATGACGGGTAGGTCGAGATAGGCAAATACGCTGGCGGAGGGTAGGGCTTCTTCTTTTCCTCGGGTTTTTCTTCCGGCTTCTCTTCCTTCTTCTCCTCTGTCTGACCTTCGCTCTCGTGTATCGTCTTCATCTCAGGGCTATCCGATGATTCACCGGTGGTGTGAACAAAAGGTGTTGGCTGTGGCTCCGGAGCCGGATCGGGAGGAGGATCGAGTGGCCCAAGCCAGCCCTCATGCAGTCCCCGGATATACTCCTTCCACGTATGGCGTCCCAGCACCAAGTCACCACGTGGGGCAGGCTCAGAAGTGATCTGCATCTTTTCCCGTACCTGCTCAATAGCTTTCTGCGTGTCCATTTCTTCGGGCACTGCATGATTTTCGCCATTCTTCCTTCGCAATCGTCGGATCTGCTCGGCCGTACCATACCTCACGTCGCCTTCTTTGCGACCCTCTATCACATCATAATCCATGGCTGCGGCGACAAGAATAGGCTTCACGTATTCTTTAAAGTATTCGCGTGATGGCCGAATGCCATCTCCCGGTGGCGCAGAAAGGAACACGGTGATTTTTCGTGCCATCTGATCCGCCGGTAATGGCTGCTGGGCAATGTGCGCAACAAGGTCGCACCATTTCCTCTGGTTCTTCTTTTTCTCCCGTCGATCGTACATTATAGCAGCAGTCCAGGAGCCGGTGATTGTGAGAAAGATCATCCAATTCCGCGACGGCAGCCTCCATCTGATGTTCGGAATTCCTATCAAAGGTCAGCTTCACTCTCCAGCACTTTCTTCGCCGTACGCACCTAAAGCCCGGAACGCTGGATTGCGCTTGGGAGGCTCCGGAGCTTTGGGTGCAGCTCCGGCGGCCGCTCCATCTTGCTTCGGAGCTTCAGCCATCTTCTGAAACTTCAATCACCCTCCTCGTCACGCCTTTTGGCTACGACAAATCCGTGGAACACGGAACAGGACTGTGATATGGTGAGGCATGTGATGCATCGCAGCAGACTAAAAGTTTTGGGCATGAAGGTCTGTTCGGCGCATCGTATGCCCGGTCGCCGGCCGCTCTGGCGAGCGCCACTGCGGCGGGTGGGTCTTGCCTAAATTCCTCCCTCGCTCCTTCCCGTCTGGGTGCCGTCAGCCTGGTGATTAGTTGAGCCTCTCATGTTCATGTCTACACCTCAGAAGTGCTCATCACACAATAGTCCAGCAACACAGGTGACAGGACCGAGAGTCACACATTCACTGGCAAGGTCGTTTTCGACACTCCCCTTCAAGCATAGAATATCTTCTGTGCCACCCTATTTAAGCACCGCCAGTGTCGAAACGATCACAACCGTTTTACTCTGCTACCTGCCAGGAGACCCCTAGTAAAGCCAAGGCCAATCGCATATTGTGCCTGGAAAGCCAGATTGTGTTTGAAGCGGGCGGTGGTCCACTATCGATAGCGCCCGCACCTGCGCTGCGCTAAACTGGACCTGCACAGTACCCTTTTCCCTGGGTACAGCACAAAGCGGTGTATGCAACTTGGAACATCCCTTCCGTCCTGTCGTTCCTCGGTTTTGATCTGACAGCCGGAGGAATCTGGCACATCCATTCGAGCCGAGTGACCGCTCTGAAGTTGGCTGGAATTCCTCGTCATTCCGTTATTTTCCCCACGTTCTTGAGCCCTCCCTGAATCGTGGGTTGCCGACTACAGGTAAGTCACTTTACCGCATCCCAACTTCGGCCGACATAGTAGTTGGTCTGATACCTTCCTGCTCACGTTCGACTTGGCAGCAGAACGCTGACAGACCGTATAGCAGCTTATTGACGCCTATTCGAGCCTCTGTGGGGTATCTTTACAGCAAGGGATTCATTTAAGACCTACATCATGGACCAAAACGACAATAGGCTGCGTCTGAACTTCCAGTTCGACCAGCAATTCGATTCCTCAAATGCTCGAGTCTATCCTACCACACCCTCGACCTTCCCCCAGCCAATCTACGGTACTCAGGCACAAGACTACGGCGGGGGCATGCTGTCACCGAACCCCAGTGCCGGTCCCGGCTACTTTGCGAATGCGCCATATTCTCCACACCCGCAACAGCAGTACAATCAGCAGCAGCAGTACCAGTATCAGCAGCAGCAACAACAGCAACAACAGCAGAACCTCCAGTCGCCTCAGCCGGCCTATCAGATGAACTCTAGACCCTATGCTGGCAATAACCACCAAATGGACGGTACGAGTCAGATGGTGCAACAATTTGCAAACCAGGACCTGAGCTCGAATTCTCGCGGAGGGATGAACCGTACGCCGTCCCCTGCTAATGCGCAACGACCTCGAACGGCCGGGGAATCCCGCCAGAACGCCAACTTTCAATCACACCTTGCACCACCTATGCCGAGATCCGCGCCAAAGCCCGAGGAAGAAGAGCAACCAAACCCTCGCAAATACTCCGATAATGTAATTCGCCGTGGTACCGCTGCTAAGCAGTTAGTCAATTCTTTCTTCCAGGAAAACATCGAACGTGCTCGCGACCGAAACAGCCGTGCAAAGGAGCTCGATGCAATTCTACGCGACCCTAACATTCCCGAGTCGCAGAAGGCAAAAGATGCCAGCCTTTTGGCGCAGAAGGAAGCTCGTTTCCTACGGTTCTTGCGGACTCGAGAAACACCCCAGAATTTCTCTACCATCAAGGTCATTGGAAAAGGCGCCTTTGGAGAGGTCAAGCTCGTGCAGCGTCGGACGGACGGCAAGATCTATGCCCTCAAGTCCCTCATCAAATCGGAAATGTTCAAGAAAGATCAGCTTGCTCATGTTCGAGCGGAGCGTGACATCCTGGCGGACTCCAAAGACAACCCGTGGCTGGTCAAGTTGCACGCCTCGTTCCAGGATAACGCATTCCTCTATATGCTTATGGAGTTTCTGCCCGGAGGGGATTTGATGACGATGTTGATCAAATACGAGATCTTCTCCGAAGACATCACACGCTTCTACATGGCTGAGATCGTAATGGCGATCGAAGCTGTACACAAATTGGGCTTCTTGCATCGGTAAGTTGAAGCCTACTTGCCTTTGACAACACTAACGCCTGCATCAGTGATATCAAACCGGATAACATTCTTCTCGACCGAGGTGGTCACATCAAGCTGACTGATTTTGGCTTGTCGACCGGTGGCCGAAAACAACACGAGAACTCGTACTATCAGGCATTGATGAGAGCAGGGGGCGCCGACAAAGCAGGAAATAGGAACTCCATGGCTTTGAACGAGCAGATTAACCTGACTGTCAGCAATCGTGGTCTTGTCAACACTTGGAGAAAATCGAGACGCCAGATGGCGTACTCTACTGTTGGTACTCCTGATTACATCGCACCGGAGATCTTCCTCGGACAGGGGTACACTTACCTCTGTGATTGGTGGTCAGTGGGCGCTATCATGTTCGAGTGTCTAGTCGGATGGCCTCCGTTTTGTGCCGAAGACACCCACGACACTTACCGAAAAATCGTCAACTGGCGAGAATCTCTCTACTTTCCCGACGAGCTCACTCTCGGAAGGGAGTCTGAAGATATGATTCGCAGGTGAGTTATCAGCCCTCCAGCAATACTGCATCAACTAACAACACGTAGCTTCCTCTGCGACGCGAATGATCGACTGGGCAAAGAGGGCGGTGCACATGACGGTGCTTCTCAGATCAAGCGTCATCCTTTCTTCCGTGGGGTTGTCTGGGACAAGCTGCGGAGCATTCGCGCCCCCTTCGAGCCCAAACTCTCCTCCAACATCGATGTTTCATACTTCCCGATTGATGAGATTCCTCAGGAGGACAACAGCGCAATGCATCGCGCCCACGCCAAGAACGTTGCCCCCGAGCAGGATGCCGAGATGAGTTTGCCCTTCATTGGGTACACTTATAAGGCATTCAACGCTTTCCAGAACTCGTGAGCGGAATCTGGCCAATACGATGGACGAGAGGAGGGGGTATTCTGCATGGTTAACGAAGGCTCCTCGAGCATACGATATAGGCATAGAAGATCTCCATGCGGGCCAGGATCGAAGGTGCATTGCATGGCGTTATACCTGCATCTTGTGCGAGCACAGTCAATCAAAGCATCAGGTCTTGAAACAGAAGACATCGTGGATGTAAGATCCACGTGACTAGCGTTCGAGCACGCGACCAAATACACCATCAGATAGGACGAGCGATTTATTGCCCTTCCACATTCTGAGATATCCAATTCTCAATGACGGCTTGCCAGCCCTACTTCTGTATAACGCCGATGGCTCTTCTTCAGAAGTATCCCAATCCCGTAGGTAGCGATCATGTCAAGAAAGCGAGAGTCGGCTTCGTTTCGCAACCCTCGCTGTGCTGCCCAGCATGCGCGCCCTCGGAACTACATCGCCTTGCTTTTCTTGCCATCCTTCCCACGCCCACGATACAAGTCCTCTGCCTTGGCTCCCATACCCTTCCCGAGTCCCTGGCTTCCGGCCTTCTGCTCCAGGCGCTCTAGTGACTCCTCGATCATGCCGATGTGACCCCGTAGCGTGCCTTCTAGCTCGTCCATGCGGGCTTCGGCCTCTTCGTAGTTGCGTTCCAAGAGGGCGTGATTGTTGTAAGCTGTGTAGGTGGAAAGGGCGAGGTTTGCGGCAGCTAGGCCAGTGACTGCTCGGAGTAGCGTGCTAGATGCCATGGGGTTTGCTCCGGGCACGACGTCAGATTGGTTGTTGGTGGTCGAGTGATGGGCGGAGAGGAGTTCCAGCAGCGCTGCTGGTCGATCAGAAAGCAGCGAACTGGTGTGAGTGGTGGTTCCTTGCTGATATGAGTTGGCTGGCTGTCATGACATCTTCGATCTGGGATTGAAATTAAGGTTCGAGAATTCTCGGCGCCGGAGTATTATCTCTCACGGAGGTGTGGCCCTTATACACGCGCTGCCTGTAGAAGCTCATTTGTGTATAGTAGTGTAGGAGGCTAGAGCTTTAGTGTGAAATTTGGCTGGAGCGACTTCGCTTGCTCTCGTATCTTGTCAATTGTGGCTGTTCTGCAGTGCTGCCATTAGGATGCTGCGATCAATGCATCTGTTGTTACATGTGCCCTTCAAGCACAGCCGGAAGCACGGAGGGCTCAATTGCGGTTCTTCGATGGTTCCAGGAACTCATGTGCGACAAACAGAGGGTCGTTCCGAACGTGTGAGTCCTCACCCCTCAACGCCGGTACCTTTCTGGAATGCCTCCTTGGCCATCATTGTGTTCAGTACTGCACAGTTGAACTCTGCTTCTCCTGGCGGTAGTGCAACCATGATGTACGTGTTTTCGGTAAACCTGGCCAAGAAGCAATTGAAACTGGGTGTCTGGATTTTCGCCATAACGAAACCCGCCGAAGCGGCTGTCGTATGCGTGTTTTTAGCAACCGTGTGTTTAAATGATTTCATGATGTTTGATATCCTTTCATGTCGGTCCGGATTCGGATTCTCGTCTTCTTCGTCCTGATTAGCCATGCTTGACGTTGAGGTGACCATGAGAAAGGTCGACCGTTCAAACAGGATGATCTCTTCAGCCATGATTCGTGCGGCAAAGTCGGAAAGGAATTTTTCGATCGCGAGCAGGTTCGGTACCATCTTATGAACAATCCCTGCCCAAGCCTTGTATAGCGTCTGGTCCCAGATACTGCTGGCAAACGTCTCGAGCTTCATGCCTTCCGATCGTGCCGCAATCAGCCTGCAGCGCTCATCGTAGATTCTCTCACGGTGCTCATGCTGTACGAGATCCATTTTGTGCACCAAGCAGAACACGTAGGCACTAGGACTGAATTCCTTCAATGCCGCAATCACCGCGCTGTACGTATCGAGATCTCGTTCGACCTCTCTGCTCTCGATGTCGAACACGTATATCAACACACTTGCATCGCTGAACACGCTCTCTCGCTGGCTGTTCAAATATGATTCTGTGAAAGCATCCTGCCCGCCGCAATCCCACAGATTTAGCGTCAGGTTTCCCATGAATTTGGCATGAGAATGCTCAACATCAATTGTAGCGCCTAAGCGGCGAACATCGCGTGCCACATAGTTGGAAAATATGATACTGCGCATGCTCGACTTGCCGGAACCCGATTTACCCATGAGCAGGACTTTGCGCTTGCGAGATTGAGAGGACATCGAGCCCGTTTTAGAGGGCGGACGGAACGACATCGTAGGCGACTGATGTCAAGATCGGGGAGGAATGTCGCTTTTTAACGTGCATCCAGGATTGACGGGGAGAGCGCAAGGCGAAAGAGCGACGTTGTACAGGTGGAAAGTCTTGCGATCGGAGCGGATCAGCTGCGTCGAATATGAGACTGGCAGACACACATTGTCGGCGAAACGGTCTTGATTCGAAACGAGTAGTGCTGGCACTCAGCTGTTGAGCATGCAAGTTCGAGGTCGTGTTGGCTGCAATGTGATGTGAGCTGTTACTTGCGGGTTACTGAAGCGCCAAAGGGAAGCGCACCTTCTCCAAGCGACTGCGGGGAGAGAGAGCCACGGCCAAAGGTTTCACCTGGACCGTAGCCTTGGCGTAAATGAGCTCTCGACATGTACTCCGTACCTTACACCACTCTATCATCGTCCCTCAAGCACCACTCGGCCTTGGTACTGTACCTTCCCGGTCTTGATGCGGACAGCCTTGCGCCAGCATGTTAACGCCACGTGGGCGTGCTTGTCCGCTCTGCAGGCTCTACCCCAGGAGTCGCAGCGCCTGTTCAGTTAACCGTGACAAGAGTGCTACCTTGACGCGTACCCGCTATGATTGATTCTCTACGTGTCTACGAAGTTACTGCGGGTCATTTCAGTGATCTAACATTCTGCTCGAGCGCCGACCACGGCCAGACGTCGTTTCTTTCCTCCTCTTGTCGGACATTCACGCCCTTTGGCTAGCTCAGCTGTGGAGTACTGACAAGATCACCTTTGAATTACATGTCAGCAAGCAATATTTTGCACAGCGGTTTGCGTTAGCCGATCCGACAATGCCGAGAGCGGACTTGTCGAGCTTCTGGAAAACTTGGCTGCGTGCGAACGATGTCACTCGTACGGGACAGAGAATTACATGCCAAGGACAAGACTCTTGGACACTTTAACCGATTCCTATTGACCCAATCTGCAGGCTCTCCAGGAACACGAGGTGCCTAGCACCAGGCACTAACTGTATAGAGGCCTGGGCATTTGGATCACTCTATTCGAATGGTTTGGGAATCAACGGCCTGTGAATGGTCACAGCACCTCTGCTATCCATAACGTCTTTCTACCAACGCATAGCTGACCTTCCCAGGATGGTAGATAGGTAGGCACCCACAGTCTTGGACAGACGATGATGGGTGAGTATAAATATTGTGTGCATCTCGTTTGTCGTTCTTGCGAGCTTTATTCTTCTAGCGACCACTTCCCGGTAGCCTAATCGCAAAATGCTAAGGTCAATACTGCTAACAGCACTCGCTTCAGGTGCTACTGCCAGCTGGGATGCAAATCTCAACTACAGGTCACCATCATTCGACCATGAGCACCTCGGCATCGACATGAACAAGGTCCAGTCGCGCAGCCTAGAGAAACGGGACTATACCGAGTGGAAGACAGAGGACCTCAGCTTTACCCATGGCGTTGCTTCTGTAAGTGTGGACTGTGTCCAGGTGATCACGGCTGATCATAGCAGGGAGATCCGCTCGCCGACTCTGTTATCCTGTGGACCCGTGTTGCGCCAACCATGGATCATGACCGATCCAACGTCACGGTTGAGGGCGACGTGGAGCTGTATTCTCATGAGACAGAACGCTGGATTCAGGCTTCAAAGCGTCCTATTTGCGTTGATTGGCGGCTCCATGAGGATGCTGAGCTCTCAGGTCAGGCGGCAGCTTCTGGTCGAGGGTATACGACCTCAGATATTGACTATACACTCAAGGTTAGTAAACCCTCAACGGCACTCTTTTCTAACAATCTTAGGTTGAAGCTACTGGTCTACAGCCATTTACCACGTATTACTACCAGTTCAACGTATGCGACACCGATATTGTCAGTCCCCTCGGGCGGACCAAGACCATCCCTGCAGAGGATGACGAAGTGCCGCTAAAGCTTGGTGTCTTCTCCTGCGCAAAGTATTATCGTGGTTATTTCAACGTTTACGGCAATGCCGCCCGTAAAGACAACCTTGACTACATGGTCCACCTCGGCGACTATTTTTACGAGGAGCCAGACGGGCAGGGGGAACGGGCTATGGACCCACCAAGGGAGCTCATTACTCTTTACGATTTCAGGACACGCATCGGTCAATATCGGACTGATAGTGATCTACTTCTTAGCCACCAGCAGTATCCATGGATTACCACATGGGTAAGCATGGCACACTTCGTAGCGAGCGTTTCCCTAACAGGTTAACAGGACGATCACGAGATTTCCAACAACAATTGGCGCGCGGGTTCCAGCCAAATGAACAATACGGAAGAGTCATTCCTAGAGTTCGGTGGCGTCTCATTTGACACCCTCAAGATGAATGCTGTCCGTGCGTACTTCGAGTGGATGCCTATTCGACAAGCCGATCTCGACGACAACTTGAGAATCTGGAGGAATTTCCGAATGGGAAAGCTATTCGACCTCATCATCCTCGACACCCGTGCCTACGATCGTTCTGTTACAAGCTTGCGATGGAACAATGATCACATTGGCGAGGACCTTTCTAATGACGCCTCTCGCAGTCTCATGGGTGGTCGTCAAGAGAAATGGTTCTACCGACAACTGTCCGAATCAAGTGACCGCGGTGCTGCTTGGCGGGTCATCGGCAACCAGATCATCTTTTCCCATGTTAATCAGTCTGGCATTGGTGAAGGATCTGAGCTGTTCCCATACTCTCCTGATGAGTGGAATGGCTATGTCGCAAATCGCAACCGCACGCTAAAGCACATATTGCAGAATGACATCAACAACACTATCGTTCTCGCCGGCGATAGTCATGCTAGTGAGTGCTGCTAATCCTAGTAGGTGACCGTGCTGACATCTTAGACTGGGTGAGCGATATCACTTGGGAGGGCCTAAGGGAATACAATCCGGAGACCGGTGAAGGCAGCCTTGGGGTCGAATTTGCCGTTACGGCCGTCTCATCTGATGGGTACGGCGAGTTCAACAACTCGCACAGCAACCAACAAAGTCGAGATCTAGTCAGGGACAACCCCAACCTGCACTGGGCTGAAGGCTACTACAGAGGCTACCTCGAGTTGAGCATTGAAGCCGACCGTGTGGACGCTCGGTTCTGGGGTAATATTCTCCGCGCTCTTATGCAGAATAGACTCGCTAACAAGACCAGGTTCGCCCTCCGTGGCTACCCGTAATCCCTACGAGCTTCCGATGGCCAACTTCACCGTCCAGAGCGGTGCCAACCGCCTTCAGCGCCCTTTCGGCGATGTCGTCAACGGAGCCATTTCTGGAGGGTTCCCAACTTTCGACAACACCACGCTCTCAACCGAGAATGGAACGTGGTTTGAGCAGGAGTGGGCTGACGTGGTGGAAATGTTCTTGTGGTACCCCGAAGACTTTGAGTAAAAGATATATTTCCTGGCAAACAGGCAACGAAGAAGGCATGATATGGAGATAGGGCCTGTTTCTTGAAAGCCGAAGCGAAGCCATACTCTGTGGTCGGTCTGAACGATCATAATTTAAGTGCCTGGCACCAGCAGCCCGAGGTAGTAGAGCAGCATCTCAGGCAGTGAAAGTCTTGGCTCTTGGCAAAACCGCGGCAGTGCTCACTCATGTTATTCTCAATACGTGGGTAGCTTATTAATGCCCATCTTCTTGATGGGTGGTATCTATTGCAAAGTTATCTTCAGGAGCACTTCCACACATTCATTCTGCTCACGCTATAGGCGTACCGAAGTCACTAGCACCGCTACCTGGGCCTTGACCCTGCGCTAGGTGTGGCCTGGTGAAATCTTTCCTGCCTCTCACCTCCCTCACCAAGCTCTTGGCTTCTTCCACTTCAAAGCCGTCCATGCAAAGCTCCTCGGCCAGCCTTTCTGCCTTTTCCAGATCAGCCAGCTTGTACGCATGCCTCGCCAACCATAATCGTGCTTTGCTTGTCGTTTCGGTCGTGCCCGTGCCAAATCCGTCCTCTCGATCTGCGTCATCTTGCTCGTCATCAGTGCTTGGTGATGACGGAGAAGACAAGATCTCTGTGTCTCCATCTCCACCATCGTCATCCTCGGTCTGCATGCTCTCCTCTTCCTGGCCGGGTGTTCGCATGAGCCGCTTGCGCTCCGCCGCAAGCTCTGCTCGCCGAGCTTCTTTCTTCGCGCGCTTGCGCATTGCCTTTTCTGCCTCACTGACGCCTCTGCTGCTAGCTCCTGTCTCTTGCGCCATGCACAGCTCCATATATCTGGCTGCTTCATGTTCGTTTTGCAGACGCTCATACATCTGGGCAATAGAGTATAAGGTTTCCGGGTCGAGCAATTTGCGACCCGTTGGACGCTGTTTTTGCTTTGTGGAGGCGGTGGAATTGATAGAAGCACCGAAAGACTGCTGGGGTGTGGCGTCAGAGGTTTCGAAGTACGTGCCAGCGACTAGTGCGCGCTTCAGCGCTTTGATGGCTTGGTCGTAGCGCTCCATCTTTGAGTAGCACGAGCCCACAGCTTGCCACATCTTCGGATCATATGGCCGTAGACCTGCAGCTCGCTGATAATAGAAGAGGGCGTAAAAGCCCATGTCCAGAACCTCGTAGGCTTGGCCAAGACCGTACCATGCACGATAGTCTTTGCGGTTGACATCCACTGCTCGGCGGTACGACTCGATAGCGGCGTGAGTGTTTTTCAATTCGATGTATTCGTGACCCATCAACGTCCACGCGGAAAGAAAGGAGCGATCCAGAGTCAAGGCACGACGAAAGTACATGACGGCTTTCTCATGCTGTGAGCACAATGAGTAGTAGTTGCCAACAACACAGCAAGTTTCTGGTCTAAACTTGTCGACAGATGTTGCCAAGTGGGCAAGGAAAGCTAACTTCGGTCGATCTTCCATGACATATAGGATATTGGAGTAGTGGTCCAGCGCATCCAGGCGATGAGGGTGAGAGGTAAGAATTTCCTGGAAGACGGATGCCGACGTTTCGAAGTCTTTGCCATGATAGTGACAGAGGGCTAACTGTGTCAGAAGGAAAGTCGAGTCCGGAAAAATCGAAAGCAATGTGTTGAGAGAGTTGATTGTGGCAGAGGCGTCCGTCGTGGAGAAGAGGTCAACGTTGGCATGAGTCTGATAAAAGATAATCATGATATTCTGTGGCAGAATTGAGGAAGCGAGATGGGCATTAAGATCATCCACCGAGGATAGCAAGGAAGCCAGCTCTTCCCAGGCTCCCCAGTGGTAGGGGTTGAGCCTCACAGACCGGATCAGCCACTGTTGCGCCACGGACTCCTGCTTCAGTCGGGCGAGAATAAATCCGTACAGGAACTCGAGCCAACCTTGCGACCGTTTGAGCTCCGGATCTATCGCATCACGGGCGCGAAAATATCCTTCGAGGCCGCGAGCTAGAGCTGGTAACTCTTTATTGACTGTCTGCCCACCATCGGCGGGGCCCAGAACCATTTCGGTCTCTTCTTCCTTCCGCTTCTCGCCAGCAAGATATTTGGCATAGAGACCAAGGAAGAGCGACTTCTGTGAAAGCTTGGGGAATGGGTTTGTCGGAACTTCACTCTGCTTCGCTTTGGTCTTTGACTTAGGTGTGGATGTAGAGTTTCTCCCTTTGGGCTTTTCAAAAATGGCCAGCCCGCCGGCGGGAATGGCAGGAGGGATGAAAACGGCGGCACATCTATCAAATTCCTTGGTGTCAAAGAAGGTCTTCGCCAGGAGGTATCGAGGCGCCTCTCTGGCTTCTAAAGCTGCTTCAATAGGGTCATCGTAGCTCGTCGAGAATATGCGGTAGGATGATTGCGGGGCATCGGCGTTCAGCATTTGAGAGTCATCGTCAAGGTCTGCTTCCTCTGGTAGAGAGTTCAGCAACTCCGCTGCCCTATCACCGTCAGTCTGTGGCCCTGGAGGATTCACTAAGCTCACCATTTGGCTGACTGGTAAAGGCATCGCTCCGAGCACTTGATGCTTGCCTCAGTAAGTCGGTCTCTGAGTTCAGCAATGAGTTCTGGATCCGTTGGTACTCCAACGCCGAAGCTAGCACGTGCGTCTACCATTTCACGCCACAGAATACAGAGGAAGTAGATTCGTTGATCATAACATCGTAAGCAGCATTGAAAGTGAATTCAATTCTAACCAGCAGCCCAAATGTTGAAGGACACGCGCAGCGCGTTGAGGCTTTCGGGCTGTAAGACCCGCCGTACTTGACATACCTCCAATCGGCAGACAACAATACATTATTAATTGCGCCTTTGGACAAACGCGTATAGATACTGCATCTGACAAGTACATTGAGTCGATCAAAAAGCAGGTAAGTCCACGAAAGACCGAAGAGGAGTCGACCTTCGGTCAGCTTGATTGTGTCGCATCCTTCAACGCAGTACTGGTGTCGCTATACTCGCCCATCGTTGCTGTTCTTCGCTACGTGTACTTCACAACGATCCAAACATCTGAATCTATCCTTGCTTCGAGATGGCCGAGCTGCCGGTGAGCATCCCGCACGCGGGTGTGATCTCCTGCGTTGAAATGCATACAAGCGGCGAACCTACCAGGATCGTATACGCCGGACACCCACAACTCACAGGCACCCTCCTCGAGCAGCGAGCTGAAGCGAAGGCTAAGTACGACCACATTCGCCGGCGACTCAACTGGGAGCCTCGTGGTCACTTCGACATGTACGGCGCGATCTTACGACCGGAGACAGAGCTGACGGCTACCGGAAAAGCTCATATTGGGGTACTCTTCACGACCAATGATGGCTATAGTACAATGTGCGGACACGCGACCATTGCTCTTGGTCGCCTGCTTGTTGACTCTGACGAGCGGATCTTCGCGCAAAGATCCAAGCTGGAGTATGACCCGGAATCTCAGACAACGCAGGTGAAGCTACATGCCCCTTGCGGCCTCCTCGATGTCACAGTCCCCACTTTAAAAGACGGCAGGCGATCTGACCCTTCGAGGCCTGTATCATTTACTTCCGTTCCTTCTTTTGCGACGGGCATAAGTGTCAACATCCCAATCGGTCCTGAATACCAATGGCCCGAGTTGAGGGGTCGCCATAGCGTCACGGCAGACTTCAGCTATGGCGGCGCCTTCTTTTGCCTTATCTCACTTGGAGAGCTGGGCTTCTCAGGACGCCTAAACCAGGTGGACCTAGCGAAGACAAACATTGCGACGAAGAAGCTGAAAGCTGCTATCGTTGCCAACCCAGATCTCCAAAGCCTCTTTCAGCACCCTATTGAGGGGGACCTGAGCTTCCTGTATGGCGTGATGATAGTTGATCAACAGCTTGGACAACCATCTTCTGACTCAGATAGCGCGGAAACCGGGCTTTATTACTTCTCCGGTCAACAGATCGACCGATCGCCGACTGGCAGCGGAGTGGCGGCGAGAGTGGCTTTGGCATATGCGAAAGACCCCAACTTTACCACCAAGAGGACATATCACTCGTTGGTGTCGCACGCAATGACAACCAAGAGCAACAATGGCGGATTTATTGGGACCGTTGTCCAGAAGGTGGAGGCGGATCACCCGTTCCCGGTTGTCCTGGTCGAGGTAAAGGGCTCTGCGTACTACACAGGCTTCTCGCAATATGTCGTAGAGGATAGTGATCCTCTCGGCGACGACGGCTTCATCTTCGAGAAACTTTCCGCTCCCCTGACGTCTTAGCTGCAGTATAATTTGATGGCGGCGTAGACCGCGTTCAAGCACGGGATCAAAAGACCCACTAGTATATCCATTTTTCAGTCCGTACAGACTCCGGGACTCATGTCTTTACCCTGATCTCCATCCATCGCAAGATTACTTACCTCCCATCGCGCAATGGGATCGTCTCAGCCAGAGCCTTTTCTCTCCGCCCGAGTCTCCTCCAACCTTGTCTCATCAAAGCTCGGCGAAGTCCGGTCCCACTGTTTCTACAATCAGTGGCACCCTACCACTAACCCGGACGGCATCATCGCTCTCGCGATCGCCGAGAATAAGCTGATGCGTGATGAGATCGTCGACCACATCAACGCAAACTTCAAGATTACGCCATGGCACCTCACCTACGGCGAGGGTCCCCAAGGTTCCATCGCCCTCAAAAGCGCCATAGGTGACTTCATGAACCGCGAGTTCAATCCGTTCACCCCTCTCAACAAGGACCACATTGTTGTCTGCAACGGCGCCGGCTCCGCCGTGAACAACCTATGCTTCTGCCTCGGCGAACCAGGAGACGGCATCCTCGTGGGCCGACCGCTCTACACCGGATTCTTCCCCGACATCGAAGCCTACGCCAAGTTCAAACTGCTGGGAGTTCCCTTCGGCGACATCGACCCCGTCTCACCAGCGGCGGCAGCCTGCTACGAAGCCACGCTCCAGCAAGCCGAGTCCAACGGCACCAAAGTCCGCGCCCTCCTGATCGCGAACCCGCACAACCCCCTCGGCCGACCCTACCCACCCGCCACGCTGCTCGCCCTCGTCAACCTCTGCTCCAAGCACAACCTCCATCTCATCAGCGACGAAGTCTACTGCAAATCCCACTTTCCCTCGCACGACTTCCCCGCCCCACCACCCTTCACCTCCGTCCTCAGCCTCCCCCTCCCACAACACATCAACCCCGCCCTCGTGCACGTCATCTACGCGCTCAGCAAAGACTTCTGCGCCAACGGCCTGCGCATCGGCTGCGTCGCCTCGCCCTCAAACCCGCGACTGGTGCGCGCCCTGCGCTCCATCGCCTCCTTCACGCGCGCCTCCCAGCTCGCCGAGCACGCCTGGCTGAACCTGCTGACCGACACGCCCTGGCAGGCCACGTACTTCCCGGAGCTGCAGCGGCGCATGAGGGGCGCGTACGAGTACGTCACGGGCCTGTTGCGCGAGGAGGGCGTCCCCTACGGCCCCGCGAGCGTCAGCTCGTTCCTGTGGGTGGATCTGCGGCGCTATCTGGCCGAGCAGAGCTGGGAGGCGGAGGTGGCGCTGAATTGGCGGTTGGCGCGGGAGGGGAAGGTGTGGGTGGCTGCCGGGGGGAGTTTTGGCGCTGAGGCGCCGGGGTGGGGACGCATTACGTTTGCGACGCCGAGGGAGGAGTTGAGGGATGGGATGGGGAGGATATTGGGGGTGTTGAGAACGGTGGAGACGGAGTTGAGGGAGGTGGGATCGACGCGAGGGTGAATGCTGGGGTTGATGGCTGGGGTCTTCTTGGCCATTCCCTGCTGGCTTCTGGAATGGTGGACACATTCAGATGACAGCGAGGGATGTAGAAGAAGTTTAGAGTATGTTCATTGCAGGCCGTGTATATATGTTTGCTAGTAGAGGCCTTCCACCAGTTTTCGAATCTCAACGGCCATTTCCTCTTCTCGCGAGTGCAGCTTCTTCATGGGATCTGGGTTAAGGCCGCCAGTCGCCCGCCCCACAATGATATCGATCTGATCTTTTCCCACGCCTTTCTCTGTTAATGTTGTCTTGAATCCAAGGTCAGAGACCAATTTCAGTATCCGGTCCCCTACTACTTCAGCATCCTTGAGGTCATCACCGCTTTGCTTCTCGCCCAAGAATGGCAGGATGGTGGCGATCTTAGCAGCATCCTCCTTGCTGGCCTTTGCCTTGAGCTTGACCACATGGCCCAGTGACAAGCAGCTGGTGATACCATGTGGGATTCCATAAGGCGAGCCCAAAGCGTAACCCATGGTATGGGATAGACCGAGTCCACCTTTCATGTTTTGCCCCAAGAAGCCGAGTGATGCAAACGCAGCAAGGAATAGACGGGTGATGATGTCTTCATCCTTCGGGTCGGCCTTGTATTTGGGAAGCAGGTCAAAGAGCTCTTTGATAGCACTCAAGCCTGACCAGCGCGCTGGCATCAATGTCGCGGTGCCATGATATTGCAACTCCACCGCATGATCAAGGGCGCGGATGCCGGTGGATGCAAAGAGGGAGGGAGGCGTATGCAAACCAAACTTGGAGTCATAGAAGATGTAGCTCGCATAGACGCCAGGGTGACCGATACCGGTCTTGACGCCATCTTCTTTGGTGTAACCACCGATTGCTGTACATTCGGCAGCAGAGAGAGTGGTTGGAATAGTGATGTGGGTTAGGAAGTTACCCCCTTTCTCGTGCAGGCGATAAGAGATTGCTTTGGCGGAATCGATGGGCGAGCCACCACCTACTGAGATGATAGTGTCGATGGTGCTATCGCCATGAACCTTCTGGGTAGCTTCATCCAGCTGCTTCACAGGCGCGTGCTCTTTGATGTTGGAGAAAGTGCCGGCGTGGTGTTTGGAAGAGAGCAGCGACTCGAGGTCCTTGATGAGTGGCGTCTTGTTAGCTAGAGAGGCACCGGTGATGATGAATGCTTTTGAGGTTTCGGAGGGCAAGCAGGAAATGAGGTGCTGTTTCACCACATCCGGCCCATAGAAGAGGCCCTTGAGGCCAAGCGGCTTGTAAAACCCGGCCAGAGGATGTGAAGTGGCGTCCATTTTCAGTGTCCGTGATTGTTGAGAGAGTGAGTTGCGAGAGAGTTGAGGCAGCAACGACCGGAGTCGATTCATATCCTGGGGCAACTGTGTACAAAAGACTAAATGGCTTCACAATGGTATGCACCAGCTTTAGTAACCGCGTGTTGGCTTGATGACGAAAGCTATTGAGCGGCACCCATCGTTGCCGAGGCTGCTCAGATTCGGGGCGCCTTTGTATGGCACCATTGCCCCGGAGATCCACTGCCCAAAGCTTGTGTGAACACGCCGATTCGCCAAGTCAAGACCTGCCTCTCTCGTGCACGCGCGCTGGTAGCTATCGACGTTGCCCATCATTATTCTATGCGTGCGATCGAAGCTTGCAATCCTGCATCTCAGAGGCTCAGTCACGTACTCGGTCATCGGGCCACTGATCGACGACGTCGCCTCCCTCCAAGAGTCTCTCCATGTTCACGCGCACACTCCATCTAATGCTCGGCGACCACCCTTGATCTCGGTGTCCCTGTACATTTCCATTAATCTCACTGTCTCCATGCATGTCGCCCCTAGGCAGGTAGGTGTCGAACAATGTCGGCAAAACGCTCAAGCACATCCGCGGACCCCGTTTCTCCTCGGACTGACTCCCATCACAGAACTTGGAAAGCATAAGATCGTACGCGGCACTGAAGTCGTTCTGGCTCATCTGATACAATAGCTTCTGGGCACCTTTCTGGCTCACAGCATATGCGAAGCTGCAAACCCCCTGCCGTGATCGAAAGACGGCGCGAGAGTGGTCTGGGTAAGCTTTCATATCCGAAGGGTGGAACCCGTCCCAGAAGAAGTTGTGTTTCACGGCTGCCGCAGTAGGATCATCGGTCTGAATGATGTGCGGCCCTTCATCCAGGATATATTGCTCACAGTGTCCAAGCCACAGTATGTCCCAACCGTCTCCATAAGGTGACATGGTGGGAACGTGCTGTCGAGATGGAAGTAAGGTGATTGGAATGTCGCCTGCCCTATCCTGCGAACCGAGGAAGGCGTCAGAGGCCACAGCGAAATTTTGCAGCTGAGACTTCAACCTGATATCCCAATCAATGTCATCCTCGAAGATGAGCGCCGTGGAAATATTGTGCTGCACGATATCTCGCAGCGCCTTGACATGCGATTGCCATGCGCCAATAACACCACTTGGCTGCTCGTCATTGTGGTCGGGTGGCATGACTTTATGGTCGACATCTGTACCATAAACGCCATCCAAGAAATAGCTTTTGCGCATCAGCCACCCAAGGCAGATGTCTAGGGCGTCAAGTGGATTACCTACATGGTGAAGCCCGTCGCGCGTGAGGCGAGAGTCAGGGCATCTCGATGATCCGTACGACCTTTGAGGTTAAGTGCAATAATTTTCTCGAACTAGGATACGTGAGCATATTCAAAGCTGGTGAGCGTTTGGCGGCAACAACATACTCCTAGCGTGTTGTTTAGGATCCGATCCAGCGACCTCTGTCTCGCTGTAGACGCCGTCCAGGTATTTACATTAAAATGGCTGCCGCCGACCAAAAGATACAGCAACAAAACGCACGCGCCAAATGCCGGCACAGCGGCACGAAGCTCCCGCTGGCGGAGGAACGATGGCAATACAATAGAAGGCATCTTACAAGGTCACATGTCTCCAAGGCACCGCTGTTGCTGTAGTTGGACGGACGGCAGCGCTTTATCATCCGTTGCAGAGGGAACTCGTATTAGGCTGAGTTGTTTCATTTTTATGTAAGACCAGAAACCCCTTTGCATCGCCGCACAATGAGGGGCTGATAAACAACCGTCGAGGAGCTGAAGGTAGGCCCAATCAGCTCACCGGAAGCCGTGATGTGAGTTCCAATAGACCCATCAAAGTGGCGTTCGATCTGCGGTCATGAAACCCTCAATATCATTTTTCGGTTCGTTTTGTAATCACTCACCCATCAAGCACGGCGCGGGGCGTGGTCCTTGTGTCAATTGATAGTTGATCGATGGGTCACATTTACAAGTGAACACCTGCAACTGAGTCCCTCTTCGAAGAATTTGGGGCACAGCGCGTGCAAGCGTGGCAACAGGCGTGGCAATATTCTCTGGGCGAGTGGCTTGCGGGCCCCTCAGCACTAGCCTGAACGCGTCGTGACCCAGCCTGGTCATGCAGGACGAACACGAAGAAGTAGATTACCACCTGGGATCTCCGTACTGACCCCATAGATCTGCTCCAGATTACGTTGACGCGCGCAGCAAATTGCAAGTGGTAGATCTTGTTAGTTGCTCGGACGACCTTCCTTGAGGACGACGCTCAACACAATGCCGCCAGTCGCAGCAAGAGCTTCACTTCGCCGCCGCCTTCTGTCGAGCAAGAGCATCGTGGATCCCATCGTACCCACAGTTGAAGTCGAGGTTCGCCGTCAGCCTCTCGCCCACTGTCGCGAATTTGCTATGCGAAGCCCTTGTCTGAGCAAGCACCTGGGCGGTGCGTGGCCTCCTCACACTCTCTGCAAGCTTCAACAGCTCGAGCACGTCTTCAGGGCGCGTGTCAGGGGTCAGAAGACGAAGACTCTCCGCGTCTTCAATACTCATGTTGGCACCTTGGCCCTGCAGCGGCGACATCGCGTGAGCCGCATCTCCGATGAGCATCACTCGGCCGCTGGTCCATGTTGGTAGCGGCTCAAGGTCTTGCAGCTCCCACACTTTCACCTCCGTGGCGGCGCTGCATTTGTCAGCTATGCATTCGGTGCACTGAAGACCGGTAACATACCTGAGGATTCGCTTCACCTGCTCCCCAAAATCGGAGAAGGTTTCTATCATCTCGTTCCGGTCCCCGTCCGCATGCCACGACTCAGCCGTGGTCTTTGTCGACTCGTCCGTTCGCAAAATGCAAGACAAGTTGAACATCTCTGCATTCCGGATGGGGTACGCCGTGATGAATCGCGGACTGCCATCGTCCGCGAAGATCAGCGCCGAGTTGTTCTGGCTATTGCTCGGATCCCACCAGTGCGGCGGCGGCAGATCGCCCAGCGCCACGCTGGCATCCTCTGTTGAGACGGCGATGCGGTAGCAGGTGAGACCGGTTTTCTTCGCTTTGTACTCGTTGGATTTCAAAATCGTGTTGCGGAGACGAGAATGCACTCCATCTGCCACTATGAAGTCGTCAGCATATCGCCTCCAGTCTCCAGATGCTCAGGTCAGGTACGTACCGATCACGACGTCTCCTTTCACCTTCTCGCCCCCTTCCAATTCCACCACCCCCCGATCACACTCTACCCCCACTACACCACTTCCATACACAATTTCCACCATCCCCTCCCCTTTCGCAGCCTCAGCAACCATCTGGCCCAACACGCCCCTAAAGTCCCCCCGCTTTATCGCCCAGCTATCCGCCCCAAAGCGCTGCTTCAAATCCATGTCCACATCCTCCAGCAACACCCCATCCCTGCCGTACGTCCTGATACCACGAATAGGCACAGCGCCTGCCCTTGCAGGCTCGAAGCCTATGCCCTGCAGGATCTTGACCCCGTTGGGCGCAACGATGATGCCCTGTCCACCAGTGGCGACGTCGGGCCCACCACGCTCGTAGACGGTCACGCGGTGATGTGGTGCGAGGATGAGCGCGGCGGTAAGGCCCGCGAGGCCGGCGCCGACGATGATTACGTGCAGCTGAGGAGATTCTGGCATGGTGAGTCGGTATGAATTCTTGTACCTGAGGTGCTGCTGTCGGTAGTATACCAGCAAAATACCAGCAATATGCGACGCAACCCTCAAGCTTATATCATACCGCGACCCTGGAGTGTGCGTGTACTTGCAGTCGTAAATCCGTCTGGTGATCCATAACACCGGACTCCCGCAAAACAGGCAGATCGTCCCGTGACGACGACGGTTGTTGTACGATCGAGTCAACCAGTAATTCTACCCGCTTCTCGCGCGCCCCTTCATCTGCCTCCCAGCAGCGTGCCACACCGGCATTAACGAAGATACGAAAGATGCCATCTCATAACGCCGAAAGAGCTGCATGTTTCGTCCTCGCTCGTAACGTGGACTATGCTCGGCTCATGCCCTTTTCCCCCGTGCACCGGGGAAGAAAGGGGGAGGGGATAAGTCCGCTCCGCTCCGCCCGCCCCGCCCCGCCCCGTGCCAGCCACCAGGCCGATTTCTGGGACGCTTGTGTTGTCTTGGGCTCACTCGGAGAAGGGGAAATACTTGTGTTCCTGCGAGATGAATAAGTTCTTCAACATGCATTAAAGTAGTAAGAATCTATCTCTATCAAAGTCTATATGTCAACCAACCCCTTCTTCCCAAGGACAGGCCCCTCAGCCCCCTCAAGATATTAATTATTGCTTCCCAGCCTCAATAGCAAATACCCAATCCAAATCTCTAGTATCGATCGAATCAACGATGCTCAAAAATTACCCTAGAAGAATAGTCATGGCGCTCGACATTAGTTTCGCTGTAAGCGTGTGAAGTTTCCCAATCCCATCGCGTCAAAAAACCCCCCTTCCCAGGGACGCTTCCCCCGTCCTCGTGCCTTGCACGAAAACCCACTCCGCCAGCGAAGTGTAGACGGAAAACGAAAGCGGCTGAAATGCCATCATAAAAGTGTTCCCCCTCCTCGCTCTCATCAGACAGCTCTGCTGCGCCGTCCATTCCGCGGCGCCCACCCGCGGCCGTTCCACAAGCTCCAGCCCCGTCGACCGGCCCCTGGCCGTCCTCGGTGCACTTCGGGCTGGCCATCGCCGCCGCCGCGGCCGCCGCGATCGGGTTGAGGCTGACCCTGGCTCGCGGGAGGCGGCGCAGCGGGTGCTGGAGGCGCGGGTGGTGCCGGAGGTGCCGGAGGTGCGGGTGCTGCTGGTGGTTCTGGGGGTGCAGCCGGTGCCACTTCTGCTCCCGGTGCCGCCGTCGCCGTCGCAGACACATCCTGCGGCTGGGGTTGTTGTGTATTAGCGTCGGGCTGCGCAGCCCCCGGGTCCATCGGCTGCTGCGACAGCGAAGGCTCCGGCTGGTCCTGCGGCGCTACGGCGCCGCTGACGGTGACGGTCTCGAGCGTTGACGGCGGCGGCGGCGCACCCGAGGCGGGAACGTCACCGCCTTGGGTCGTGGGAGGCGCGGGCGCGTCCGACCAGTCATTGTCGCCGTTGCCGCCGGCCTGGTACACGCGCAGGAAGTTGATGTCCCAGTAGGCGTTCTGGAAGGCTTGCGGGTTGTCGCGCACAAAGTCCTCGCAGGAGCTTGCGAGGGGCGAGCAGGTGGCGTCTTGGCCCCAGACTTGGCCGGCCCAGTCGCCGCAGAAGGTGTTGGTGAAGACGATTTGCTGGTCGCGGATGCTCGTGTCAAGGTCACATGCCCCGGCGAAGCGTGCGTGCGGTGTGCCCCATGAGGCCGGGTTGGGGGTGCCCGAGACTATGTCGCCGGGAACGGTGGCTTTGGGGAAGAACCAGATGCTGACGGCTTCCGAGGTCCACTCGGTGGCGTACACGCCGCCACCCTGGCTGTTGAAGCCGGATCCGTAGGATTGGGCATCGGTCGTTTGGATGGAGCAGCCTACATTGGTGTCTTGCCCAGGTGCGTGTACGTCGCAGTTTGAGGTCTTGATGCTGCCAGTGAAGGCGTTGCCGTCTTGTGTAATGGAGCAGCCGGGATTGGTGTGCATAGCAAAGGCGTTGGTGGCCTGGCTGTTGACGCCCTCGATGATGTCGACTTCACCTGAGGTGGGCCAGTTGGGGCCTAGAAGCCAGAAAGCTGGCCAGGTGCCGCAGCCTTCGGGCATGTGATTGAGATCGAGGATGATGAGACCATGGTTGTAGGTGGCTTTGCTTTCTATCCGGACCGACTTGCGGCCGCGGCCGGTTGCAACGTTGGAGGAATCGGCTGCTATGCGGACAGTGGCAGATGTTGTGAACAGAGAGGATGCTTGCGCTTCGGCAAGCGAGATGTAGTCTACGTAGCCATTCGTTGGATCGCTTCCCTGGGAATGATTAGTTTGAAACTGGCAATGGGAGTTTTCCGGTTACGTACTGTAAAGAAGTTGAACTTGTCTGGGAAGTTGGCTGCTGTGTATTCGTCTTGAAGCGTGTATTGTGCACTGGCTGTGGTTAATAATGTCAGGCAGGATAGTAACCGTTGGTACATCTCGCGCAGTAGAGGCTATTAGTCACGGGGTGAAGTTATGAGACAGAGAGCGGAAGACGACAAGTATCACCAGTCTGCTTAGACCATAATGCAGCTTTGTTTGACATTGATTGACATATATCCTTCATGATACTGGAGCATGAGGCTGGTGGAAGGCGACATGCTGGGACGTTGCTGGGGCATCCTTTGGACTGTGGTGCACAAGGCAGGAAAAGTCAGAGCGCATATCAGAGCATGGCGAGCCTTGCTCACGGGCCGTCGCACATGGCCGGCCAACAGGCCAAAAGCATGTTGGAATGCCATTGTCTTGGGCGGGCAAATGTCCCGGGGGTTGGAGCTTCAAGTAGCACTGGGTAGCCAAGGGGTCCAGAGTTTTGGCTGGAATCCGAGGCCATGCCGTGGAATGTGGACCACCGTGCCTTGAGCCGCAGGCTGGTGGGACTGGAGCCATCACGGACGTGCTTTCCGGTGGCGTTTTACCGTAGCCAACTGGTATACTACAGTGCGATGGAAGTGATTTCAATGCTGAATGATGGTTCCGCCGTAACCGCATACAGCAGAGGTCTTGGAAGGCTTAGGTGGTGGGGACAGCGAGCATCTGGGTACGTGAAACAATACCTGAGCATCTGGTGCACTCGCAGACCCACTCACTCCAGCGCTCAGCGCAGCATCATAGATGAGACTGATTGTTGTTTAAGCGGTCGGGAGCAAGTGCAGCCAAGGTCGCGGCAAGAAGAGGACTGAGAAACGATAGTTGTGACTCTCAGCCAGTACTTTAGTATCCAATGTATTTTACGGTATTTCGGCTCTCCTAATCAGGCAGGCAACAACTTGTTCTTCTAGGTACTTACCTATCCTTGGGCCCCATGATCGTCTATCCTTTCCTCATCTTTGATGTTGTCAACCTCTAGAGGGTTGGAGTTGTACCTTCTTCAGATGCGAATTGAGCTTCTCGGTCCGAGATTGAGCCAGATCAGGCCCAATCATGGTCCAACGCTTCAGGCCAGCTTGGGTGAGTCGGTTGAAGCATCAGATGCCCTCATGAATCATGGCTTGCCTCGGTGGCTACCTTCGATGCCGGATCTTTCACCACCCAGGTCCCGGTAGGCCAGAGCAAGGCCGCTCTAAGCTCAAGATTCTTCTTTGCAATTCTACAGGGCACCGCACGACAAGCATTTCGGGACCCGGGTCGGCACCGGCTCGGCGTTCTCATCGTTGGGCGTGTAGGCAGGACTACCATTGTGCGGTCAGATCCTTCGGGAACCGGGTAGCTATATTGGCACACAGATATCCTTTGTGCTGCCTGGCGGTAGGTTTCAAGTTTTGGGGTCCTGAAGCAGTTGTTTGAGCAGAGCCACGGACAGAGTAGTGGCTTGTAGTTCTCGCTACAAGCGGTGCAGTGACCATTGGAGGACGGGGTTGTTCACGTGGTAATATGGAGGTGCAAGACCGGGCCTCGACTTCCCGGGTCATGGCGCTGGTCTTTTGTTCATTCTTCGCTAACTGCTTCGCAAGAGTTGTGTCCGTCGCAATTCTCATCGACAAGGGAGCGCATTCGTCGAATGGTATCGAGAGTTGTGTCATGACTGTAGCTGATCGCCAATGTCACACCACATGGCCTACTGCTCATCCCTTTCTCCTGGCAGACGGGGCCTTGGACGATCGAGGATAGCTTCGAGACACAAGTCCGAAAGCCAACGAGCCTACCTCGATGCAATCACTGTGTTGACAAAACTCAATACTGTGCATGCGAGTCAGCGAAGCCGGGATCTTCCCAAACGGTGTCCCCGGTCGGCGACGAGGTACCGCTCTGGCTCCCAAGAGGCTGGTCCAACTCGGCTCGTGGCTGGGAATCGATCCACCGAGACAAAACCGGCACCTTCATTAGCGCTTCCCCCGTATTTCATGGCGAGATCGTCGTTTCCACAATCCATGCGCGGAAGCATAGCGCACGCAGGTACGACATTGTACGTTTCAAGTTTTGGCACTTTTGCCCATGTCTCCCACGCGCGCGTCGAGATGCACGTCCAAGTGGCCATTTCCCACTACCCCCCCGGGGCCTCTAACAAGGCACCCAGCGCATCCCACCACCCGCCACCCCCATCTTCACTTGCCAAGGTCCGTTCAGAACTCCCAAAGTACTCTTCGTTTCTTCAAACACCGTCACCCGCCATCGCCAGCATCTAGTCTATGGCTTCGACAAGCCGCCGTCCGTCGCTGCACCATGTCTGATCTACAGTATTGACAAGACTGACCGGGCAGCCAGGCCAATCTATCCTGTCGCGACTCGAAGGATTTCGCCGACTATCCTGGACCTGGCAGACAGCCCTGAGGGAATAAGAACTCGCCTGGGCCTCGCCTACTTAGCGAAACGGAACTATTGATGGGCTCGAAGCTGGCGGTTCCAAAATCGCAACGGAGAAATTCTCCTATGGACTCGTTTAGTCCTTGGCTCAAGCGTTCAAACATACAACGTCAGAGCAAGACTTTGCCTCCATCGATCTTGTGCTTGCCAACACTGTGTATATCACCGTCTGGCGAAGAGATGCTACAAATATCATGACTTTCTCCAGACCTCGTACCCGCGCCCTGGATTGCGCCATCTGCTCAACCTCAACTGTGGTGATCTGCCTCTGTGAGCGACCAATCCATCACCATGTTCGACAGAAGGGAAGTTGGGCTACAGACGGCTCACGCCTTGAGCGTCAAGTCCGAGCTATATGGCCTCGTCATCTCTTTCGTGATACTGGCCTGCCTGTGCTTCGCAGCCCGTCTATACGTGCGCATCAAAGCCAGAAATGTGGGCCTAGAAGACTGGATGGTCGCTGCTGCGCTGGTATGCTACCTTGCGATATACACTGTTATATAAATTGCTGACAGCCCTGTCAAGGTCATGCTCTTCATCAAAACGGCTCTGAATAGCATCAGTAAGCAGCCGCCTCGCCCTCATCTGATCTGACAATGCTGACAACTACAAGTGATTGAGAATGGCCTTGGGCTGCAAGCCGAAAACCTACAGCCAAGAAACTTCGAGATGATTGGAAAGGTATTCAGAACCTTGCCCCTTTGTCGATACCTCTCGCTCACGCAATCAACCTCACAGGCTATCTACGTCGCCGAAATCGAATACTGGTAAGTCGCAATATCCCCGCGAGCAACAACGCCCAAAGGACTGACCAATCCTAGCCTCGCCATTGGCCTTGTCAGGCTGTCCATTCTGATCATGTATCGCCGCATCTTTGATACACGCAGCATGCACATCTGGGTCAACATCCTCGGCATCCTCACCGTCATTTGGATCATCCTCTTCATTGGCCTCAGTGTCTTCCAATGCATTCCTCTTCAACGCGCGTGGAACCCGATGATACCGGGCAAGTGCCTCAACATCAAGGCGCTCTTCATCGGCAACGCGGTTCCCAACATTCTGACCGATGCCGTCATGGTTGTCCTACCAATCCCGCCAGTGTTGAAGCTTCGGCTGCCTCTCTCGCAGCGCATCGCCGTCATCGGCATCTTCATGCTGGGCAGTTTCGTGTGCATTGCAAGCATCTACCGGTGAGTTCTCCATATACCTTGCATCGAAGTAAAGGTGGCCCTCGCAGATAAAATGCCCCTCTCTATACTATCTACCCCCTTTGTTATCCAATCCAAGTTTGCTGACGCCTCCCAACAGCCTGACCACCGTCCCGCAACTGGACCCCACGAATCTTGCGTTCACACTCAGAGGCGCCGCAATTTTCGGCCACATGGAGACGGCTGTGGCGATCATGTCCGCATGCCTCCCTACACTGCGACCACTGTTCTCGAAATTCATCGACGCCGTCGGCCTAAGCAACAACGGCAACTCGTACGCCGATAAGACCGGCTCCAAAAGCGGCGGCCGCAGTCGGAGCTCAACTCTCTCATCATATGCCTCCAGGAAGCCGAAGAACGAGGGCTTCGTCGTCATCGTCGACGACGACGGCCCCAGACTGAGCATGAAACCTTTGCCCCAGGCGCCGCCACCTGCCGCCAGGAGTTCGAATTCGAGGGGCAGGAACACCACCACCACCACCGCCGAGGACGTCCCAATGGACGTCATCCACGTGAGACAAGATGTCGACATTGAGGCCGGTAGGGAAGACAGTAGTAGTAGTATGCCCACCAGTCAGTGGAGTGACCGGGCAAGAGGGGATTGGAATCGCTCGGGGCCACCAGAGCACGTAGCCGGACAGGTTCGGCGTTAACGAAGCACACATACAATGCATACAACAGCAACAAATGATACCAACAAACACGCATTTACAGATACGAGATAAGGAATGGGTACCAGTCCCCCCCAACGATTGTACTTGTACGGGCATGGACGGAGGAAGGCGGCATGCGTCTTCGTAACGGAACTGTATGTACAGTAGAAGAGCGAGCCTGAGAGGGTTTTTGAATGTCTCAAAAGTACTTGCTACATTCTCTGCCTTCCCTCCCTCCCTCTCTCCCCCGTACCTCCCACCATTCCCCCCCC